AACTAACCCCTAAGACCCAAAGCGGGAGAAGAAACTTCACAAAAGGCCAGGCGCTGAGGCAGAGGCAGGTGGATCTTTATGAGTTTGAGGCCAGCCTGGTCTACAGAGTTAGCTTCATGACAGCCAGGGCTACACAGAGAAACCCTGTCTTGAGAAACAAACAAACAAAACCAAAAAACAAACAAAAAACAGAAAAGAAACCCCACGATGATGATGATAATGATGATGATACTGCTTCTAAGTCAAAAATACATGGACTAGGGGATTATAACCACATCAGGGTAAGTGAACTTGAGGGTCCTGGATTTAAGAGCACTTGTTGCTCTTCCAGAGGACCTGGGTTTGGCTTCCAGCACCCTCCATGGCTCCCACCTGTCTGTAATTCCAGCTCCAGGAGATCTGAAACCTCTGGCCTCTGTGGGCTCCTGTATTCATGTGTACATACAGCATATGTATGTTTGCTGCATATACAGCAGCAAACACACATTCAAAAATAGGAGTAGAAAGACATGGACCTGGCACAGTGCTGAAGTCCGCCTCAGAGGAGGGTGGGATCGGCATAGATTTATTATGTGGCTACAGTCTAGTCTAGGAGGCCCCAGGAATCTTGCTGTCTAGGCCAGAGTTATAACAGTCCCCAGATCTGGAATTTTCCTAGCTCACAGCATCCTTCCTGCATGTGTAGGGTGGTCTTGCTCGGGGGCAAGTAAGGCTGGGTGGGAGTAGTGGACCTGCTCTCAAGGGTCATGCTTTTCACTGGCACATGTTCCAGCCAAGGCTTGGGACACTTTCCTGTCCCATGTGAACCTGGCTACCCTAGAGCCAGGGGCCTTCCTCCCCACCCACTTTCCACAATAACCCATGTGGCCTAGGGGATCTGCAGCTGACAATGAGCTACATCCTCCAAGTAATTATAATTTCAGCCAGGCTGTGGGAAGGCCAACAGTAAGTGTGTGTGTGTGTGTGTGTGTGTGTGTGTGTGCGCGCGCGCGCGCGCGCATGCTTGTGTGCTGTTTGCCACAGCCCTGTGCCCTGGAGTGTTCTCCCAGGGACAATCTGCTTTGACAGACTTAAGGGATGCTATACTCTGCACCCCCTGTTCTCCTACAGGACAAACCCTGTGTCTTTCCTGCCCACTCTTCTCTGGCCTCCTCCAACCCAGCTTCATCCAAGGACAGCTTCTCCTTCCTCTAACTTGAGAAGAGGTCTTGGTGACCTTGGGAAAGAGAAGGGAATATGGGTGGGTGGATGGGATGAAACCATGCCCCTTTTCCTGCTCTTTCTGTAAAGGGGCTCTCTCAAGGGCCCCTTTACAATGAAAAGGGACTGGATCCTTTCCTCCTGCTCTAGTGCACACCTGCGCTCCAAACACTATTGCTTGGACTTTGAGGGCTCTCAGCTTGGCACCCCACCCCCAAACTCGAGTTTAGGAGATACTCAGGCCACGTGCGATCCTATCTCATTCATGCCTTTGGTTCTAACTGTCTTGCCATTTGTCCTGTCTCCCTCACCCACCACAGGCCTACACCCTGGCCTCTGCTTTGCTTGCCCTCCTAACAGGCCCCCAGGGCCTGTGCACTGGGCAAATGCTGATAAAACTGAATTTGGCTCCCAGGATAGTGGTGGCTCTCAGGCAGGAGCTATTGTGCAGAGGGGAAAGAGGGCTGGAGTAGCTGCCAAATGATGACAGGGAGAAGACAGAGATATTGCCACTCTTTGTGGCTTTGGTTCCTTCTGTGGATGTCTTGGAAGGCTCTTTCCCTAAGTAGGCCCTTCCTGTATTTGGAAGAGCCATGGTTTAGTGAACATACTTAGTCCACACAAGAGGTAAGGGAACCTCCAGGCTGCGGTGGACAAAGCCTGTTTCGCTGTTTCAAATAGAAACTGGGAATCAAATTTTTCATATCAAGTTCCCACTTAAAAATTATTTTATGTATAAAGAAGTTTTGCCTGCATACATGTCTGTGCACCATGTGGATGCCTCGTGTCTGAGGAGGCCAGAACAGGGTATCAGATCCCTTGGAACTGGAGTTAGAGATAGCTGTGAGCCACCATGTTTGTGCTGAAAATTCAACCCAGGTCCTTTGGAAGAACAGCCAGTGCTTTTAATCATTGAGCAGACTCTCCCGAGCCACAAATCCATACCTTTCCAGTGTTAGCAATTTCCCTAAAACAAAGGGCAAAAACAAACAACAACAACAACAAAACCCTCTACTTTAAGGGTCAAATGCAAAGTCTGAAGGCTAGAAGGGCTCTGGGGGCTTCCAGCCTGGCAATGGTCCACACGCCTGGGTTGCAGTCAGTCTCCAATGGTCCCTTGCTGTGGGGTGGTGAGCAAGCAAAACGCTTTACCTTGTCTGTGGACTTGGTCTCCTCATTAGTGAAATGGGAACACTCCACCCCCCTCTTTGGGGCAGTCACATGCATCAGACCCCTGGGTGCGGCGCACACGTCTTTACATCTCAGTTTCCTGGGAAGTCTGTTTCACTTGAGGTTATTATGCTTCAGGCCCTGACTCCAGTGCCCCTCCAACTTCAGCCAAACCACTTTCCCTTCCTTGGCCTGTCACTGCCTGAAAAGGAGATGGTATCTCACCAAAGATCAGAAATCTCTGGTCACCTTGGCAACAGCATTCCAGAAATCTCTTGTGTATGAGCAGGGCTGGGGGATGGCTCTGGAACGTCTGTCTTCCTTACCTTGTAGGCCTAAAACTCTCCTCCTTTAGGCATTCTTTGGGGCCATGCAATTGTTGTCCCCCTCATACTCTAATTTACACACACACACACACACACACACACACACACACACACACACACACGTCCTCCAACACTAGATCATCAGCTGGTCCTAGTCATTCATATATTTGTGGTGAAGAGTTTTGAAGCTAGCTTCTTCGTTCCATTGGATTTTTGCCCCTCTCCTTGGAACTGTTCTTGAATTGCAGAGGGAAAGAATACTTTTAGGACAGTCATGTGGTTGATTCCTGTTCTGTCCTGAACACCCACCCACTTCTGTTGGTTTCATTTTTGTCTTTCAATGAGTCTGAGGCTCAACCTAATGACTCAGTGTCACTGGACTCTAGTGCAGCCAGGTCCAACTCCAAAAAGCCACACCAGGCTGCTGCTCTTTACACTGGACCAGGCTGTCAGAGCTTTTAGGGGTTCCCAGGTTGGCACCAAGGGTCCTGGACTCTTACGGCAGGGAGGGAGCATCAAAGGAGGAGGTCTAACTGGTACTTCTGGGTGGAGGAGTTAAAAGAGCGTAAATGCTTGTACATGTGTATATGAGATTTTTAGGCATATGCATGGAGGTCAGAGGGCAGCCTCAGGTGTCATTGTTCACCTTTTAAAATATTTATGTGTTTATTTTGTGTGTAGGTACATGTGTGGATGTATAATTCATGACACATGTGTAGAGGCAAAGGACAACTTGCAGGAATTGGTTCTCTCATGTGGAATGAACTCAGGTCATTAGGCTTGGTAGACAGGGTCTCTGATTGGTTTGGAACTTTGCCAAGTCTAGGCTAGCTGGCCAGTGAGTTCTAGGCACTCTCCTGTTTCTACCTCCCATTTCACCATCACTGGAATTACAGGCCTGTCCTAATATGCTCAGATTTTTACCTGGGTTCCAGGGATCCAAACCTGGGTCCTCATGTTTTTGAGGCAAACATTTTTCTGATTGAGCTATGATTCCCCACCCTCTATTCCTAGTCTCTTTACATATTCTAAACCCACTTTCCCTATAGGTCAGATCTCCTGCAAGCCCTGCAATGTGAGTTAAAACCAAAGCAATGCCCAAGTGTGATGTTCAGAGCCCTTGGCATCCCCACCTTTCCTCCTTTCCCAACCCATGCTGCCAAGAATGGCTTTCTCCTTACAGGGGAGAAAACAGGCTCATGCAGTTAGTCAGCTCATATTCTAGTCTCAAAAGATGGGGCTCAGGCTGTGTCTGTGGCTCAGTTGGTGGAGTGCCTCCCCAGCACACACAGAGCCCGGAGTTGGAGACTCTGTGCTTTTTAAACTGGGTTGATGGCCCATGTTTGTAATCTCAGCACTTGAGGGGTAGAGACAGGGCCATCTTCAGCTATATAGTATGTTTGGGGACAATCCAGGATACAAGAGACCCTGTCTTAAAAAAAAAAAAAAGTCATGCCTTCATTAGGTCCATGAGGTTAAGTGGTAGGGGAATGGGAGCTGAAATGTGGAGGACAAGAGGATTCCTTTATCTGCTTAGAAAAGAGAACTACATTTGGGTGGGAGGCAAATGGATGAAGTTGTGTCATGCATTCCTCATCCCTGTCCCTTACATGTTTTCCCCACTTTCCTACCATCTTGCCTAAGTAGAAGCACTCACCTGTGGAATCTCATTCAAAGTCCAAAGACCCAGATAGGTCACAGTCATCCCTAAAAGCATGTTTCTTCCCTCCCAAGTCTCTGTAAACTGGACACTGGTTTGCCTCTGCTCGCAGGGTCACAGATGCAGGCTTGTCTGCTCAGCTTAGTTACTGACCCCATGCAGGTGTTCTGTTAGTACTCAAGGAGGAGGAGATGGAAGAAGGCATGGCCTGGGTGAGGAGTCGGGGTAGGCAGAAAGTGCTGGCACTTTACAGGAGCATGGACAAAGACCAAGACCTTCCATTTTCCTCTGTCCCTCCTTCCTGTGCAGGGCAGAGATGTCCAATGTGGGCCCATTGCCTACAGTGGGACTGGAGCCAGGACTCATGCTCTACTTGGGAGAAGGCCCTATGTTGGCTAACCAGTCTGTTGTTTGGCTCAAGTTTCTTCCTTCCTTCTTCCCTCCCACTTGGGAGGCCTGGAGGCTCCTCCTGTGTGGGCTGGGATGGATGTGTATTTAGCAAGGGGCCAAGGCTCAGGAGGTCAGCTGACTTGTCCAGGGTCTGCAGCTGGGGAGTGGTTGAAATCACACTTTCTCCTTGTCCTGAGTGTGCGAAGAAGTGGCACTCACTCAGGCCAGTGACAGGAGCTCTCCTCTCTGAGCAGGTCTGGCAACAGCCTTCAAGATCGCCACACCGTATTCTCTGTATGTGTGTCCTGAGGGCCAGAATGTCACCCTCACCTGCAGGATTCTGGGCCCTGTGTCCAAAGGGCATGATGTGACCTTCTACAAGACATGGTACCTCAGCTCACGAGGAGAAGTTCAAATGTGCAAAGAACACCAGCCCATACGCAACTTCACGTTCCAGCACCTTCATCCGCACCATGGAAGCCATCAGACAGACAATACCAGCCATGACCAGGCCCAGACACATGGGCTAGAGCTAGCTTCCGACCACCATGGTAACTTCTCCATCACCATTCGCAATGTGACCCTGAGGGACAGTGGCCTCTACTGTTGTCTGGTGGTAGAAATGAAACACCACCACCCAGAACAACGGCATAGTGGGTACATGGAGCTTCAGGTACAGACAGGTGAGGCATCTGCGCAGATGGCCGTGGCTAGGAGTTGGGGCGTGTGGAGCTGGGTTTTGCGGGGGTGTTTGCACATGACCATGTGTGAGGCTTTGTATGAGACAATGAGCAACACTCAAGGGCATGTGGTTGTGTAAGGAATGGGTGCGTGTGTGGGGGGGTGCAGACATGTGATTATCTTGTATGTGTCTCTATTTGTGATAGTGTCACTTGTTCATGTATGTACCTAAACTGGCAGGGTCACTGCTCATGAGAAAATACAGGCAGTCGGGGGACTTACTGTGTCCTGAGTTTGAGTTAACCATGGCTAAATGGCTGTGAAGTGAGTATGTATCTATATCTGTCCATCTGTCCAGCCAAGGACGCAAGACATGCACACATGTGTACAGACTCCCCTGGACCAGCTCTGCCAGGCAGCTGTTAGCATGCGTCTCTGTGTTAGGAGAGAAGACAAGCAGCCTGACCAACCTCCTCAACCTCAGGGGCCTCACAGTTGCCTAACAGCCCTCTCTTTGTTCCCACAGGCCAAGACTCGTCATCTGCATGTACTGCGTACCAATCTAATGGGCAGGACAGTGACAGTAAGGACACCCTACCACCACCAAATATCTTCTGTGCAGTTTCTGTCTTTACCTTGGGGCCAGACCCTGTTCTGGACTCTCACTTCCATACAGGCCCCATTCCCTCTCTGCTGCTTCTAGTGTCCTGTTCTTTCTTGACTGTGGCCCCAGAAGCCCCTGTTCCTGCCACTGTTCACTCTGTGAAGTAGGCATCCCTTTCACACTCTACAAGGTGGCATATATGCACACTGACCATGGGCACAGCAGGGACTTTCCAGCTCTGTTCATAGTCCATCACCCCTGCTTGTGGAAGAAGACTGGGCATGCAGAACACAGGGTGGCTGTCAGCCCTGGTGCAGGTCCAGATAGAAACCTTATGGTCGGGTTAGAGGGCTTTGCTTTCAGGGAGGCTCATTCTCTCATTCAACCTTTCTTTGTAAAACTCTTCTAGTAAAACTTCCTCCTCCCTCCTCATTCTCTGTGTTGCTCCCTTAAGTAGCTTCCCTTTCCTCTCTGCCCTGTGGCAGACATAGTAGGCAAGATGACATATTTTAGGGTCCCCCACGCTTCCACGAAGAGAGGGCTGTGGCTCATAGGCTTGTCAGGCTTGTTAGGCCCTGGAGAGGCAGAAGGAAAAATTGTGATCCTGGCCTTCAGTAGGACATGCATAAGAGTTTGAGCCAGAATGGGAACAACCCCAACTCAGTGGCCAAGACAATGTTCTACTCACATTACTTATATTTTCAAACCAATCAACACGTATAACATTGAACAAGAGCCACATCTGTATGGCAGTGAGGTCTTTGGTTCAAGCCCTTCTGCCACGAACACTGCCAAGCTCAAGTGTCCCCTCAGCACCAAGCCACAATGCTGTCTTCACTTCCCCTCTCAGCGTCCTCTTTCTTCCCATGAAGCAGTGCATGCTGTTGTGTTTGAGGAACACTGCAGCGGGGCATGGGTGATGCTCACTTCCCCAAGGCTCCTTCACTCTGAGCAATCCCCCTGGCCTTGCTTCTTTTTAAAGAATTTGTCTTTGCGAAAACTGCTGCTTCACTACTCCCTGCATGTCATGGGTAGGGAAAATGAGGTTCAGGCAGATCCTGGCTTGCTGGGAACGTGATGCGTTAGAATAGGCTGGCCTCAAATTTGCAGCAATCCTCCTGCCTCTGCCTCCCAATTTCCTCCTACTACACCTAACTTCAACAGGACTTTGTGAAAATAAGCCATATGCTTTGAGTTTTGGGGACAGAGACACAGATGGTAAAGTGTAAAAGGCGCTTTCACTCACCTGCTTCACTGTTGTCTGGGAGGCTTCCTGCCTCCTTCTGCTAACCTAGGCCTAGCCCTGGAAGCTTCTAGCCTTCGTACAATCTAGCCTAGCCTAGAGTGTTTTCAGCCTCTGAGACTTACTGCTGAATAAGCTCACCCCTTCTTGCTCTTCCTGAGCTCACAGCTGGCCAGTTGGTTCAACTCAGCTGTTCTGGCTCGAACTCCTCTCCAAACTAATTTATTCAATTTGGCTTTTCTCTTGGCCTCTGAATTGATCTGCTTAACTAACTCCAACAATCTTTTCTAATCTTTTGGCTCATTCTGTCTCATTCTGTCTTCTAGCTTGTTTTCTCATTCAACCTTTCTTTGCAAAACTCTCCTGTTCCTTCCTCATTCTCTGTGTTGCTCCCTTAAGTAGCTTCCCTTTCCTCTCTGTTCTCCTGAGAGTTGGGTGTATCCTAAGTCTGTCAAATCTCTCCCTCTGATTCATCACTTTTTGCCACTCAATTAGACATCACTTTCAAACATGGGTGCTTCCTTCTGCAAACTAACTTTACCTTCATTGTTTGTGATTAAAAGTGTGTACCACCACACCTGGACCTAAGCTTTTTTTTACCTGATACTTGCCCTATACTGGCTGACCTTGAACTCAGATTTGCTTGCCTCTGCCTCCTGGATTAAAGGCATGTCTGTATTTCAGTCAGACCACACAGACCTAGAACATCTTTGGATGTGATCTCTTGCTAGAGCAGCCCTCTTCTCAATTAAAATTCCTCTACAGTAAAGGGTTCAGGCTGAAGAAAAGGGGACTTTTCTGCTCTTGAGACTCTAGAGAAGATATCCAAAGGTGAAGTGGAAGCCTTGAACTCCATCCTTGGGTTTAGACATTTTCAATCCTTGCCAATTCTTGGAACTGTGAAATCTCTTTCTGGCTCCTGCTTCCCTGAGCTATTGTTCAGTGAACTGGATTGTTAGAGCCAAAAGAACATACTTGGAGCCTCTGCAGCTGTTGAGGTCAGGGGATGACTCTGATGACCTCTGTCTCCAATAGTCTAGACACTAGGCACTAAGGCAGAGTTTGTTCCTGGGTATACTTTGGGAGTCTGTCTGGAGAATCTGGGCAGTTCTACTACTTTCTGTATCATTTCTCCATTCAGGAATTGGAGTAACTATATCCCTCTAAGAGGGAAGCAAATGCTATTTAAGGGACTGCCTTGGGGATGGGAAACATGCTTGTGTGTCAGGTACAGGAAGCCAGAGAACAAAATAGTAGGGAGGAGTGAAGACTGGCGAACACTCAGCCAGTAGCCTGCAAGAGTAGTTCCAGCACCATCGAGGTGTGGGCTCCTATTTTCCTTTTGATGTACATGAGGCCTAACATCCCAAGGCAGCTCATCCATTCCCGTGCCCAGACAGGAAGGAAAGTGATGGTGGATATGGATGAATTTCTTAACACAATTCTAGGGCATTTGCCTGGCAACCTGAACGTTGCTAAACAGGCACCAGGGCCAGCTGCTGAGAACTATTTTGTACTGTACATTAACTTTGGAAGGTCCCAACTGAAGCTCTTTCATAGGCAAGTGCTCAGCCACAGCAGTCAGTGGGTCTGTTGAATGATGCTTCCAGCCAAAGTCTGTGTGTTTTCCTTTTCTAGTTCCAGTCTGAGTGGCTAAATGTTACCCATTTAGGGAAAAAGCTAGATTAAACAAGGTACAAGTCCAAGTGGGTTTCAGGTAAGAGGACGTATAAGGGCTAAAGTGTAAAGTCGAAGGTGTGGGCTGGCATTTCATAGCATGGCTTTGGATTTTCCCTGAGATGGGACTGGGCAGCCTATCTCTTACCCTTCTTATCCCTAATGCAGCAGGATATGCTTTTCCTCAGCCTCTTTTGTGCACACCCATAGGGTGCCTGGCAGGCCCTGGACATAGACTGAGCCAGCTGGGGCTTCTCATCCTGCCTGTTCTGAAAGGGCCTGGCACATGCCACGGAGTGTTTTGAACAACTGCTTCCACCGGTGCTTTACCACCTTCCAAGGAAGAGCCCAGCTCCAGATGGTGACTAAGCTCTCTTTGAAATGGATGCCTCCTTGGAGTAAGGAGAATTGGAGTCAAAGTCAGTCTGGCTTTAAAAAGGTTTTCTAAGTCTCCAAGGGTATCCGACCGCACAGTAGCCAGAACAAGTACAGCATATAAGGGAACGGGCTCTGTAAGTGAAACCAAAGGGGCTGTAGAGGGCAGGATTGCTACTTGCATACCAGAGGTCAGGCAATGTGGTCCTGGCCAAACTTCCAAGGCAGGCAGGTTGTGAGCACCTGGCTAACACGTTGCTTAGTAACTGTGGGATGAGAGAAAAGTGCTTTTGCATCTAGCTTCTCAGATTGCCCACAGTAAGGGCCTTGGATGGGGTTTAGCCACACTGAACAGTATGAATTATAGGCTGTTTTTACTTTCAGTATTCCACGTTCAAATGCAGCCACATTAAAACCTGCAGGGAATCTGCTTTCCTGATGATTGGAACTTCCTTTGCAATTTCCCTAGCAATCGGTACTGTTTCTGTACCAATGTGTACTTCTAAAGTGCTTGCCAATGGTCCACTCAGTTCCATATAGCTCACTGTGAGTGCATTTATACTTCCAGGTTGCTTAGCATACAGTGGGATACAAATGGCCTTCGTTCCCAAGTAAAATGCAGAGGCAGCGTATATACCAAGGCATATCCGGCTCCTGGAGCTCTCTGGAGGTGAACTTGATCCTATGACAAGAGGTCCTAGCTATGTTTTGGCACAGAGAAAGGCTCAAATTGGGAAGGGAACAGGCTTATGCTAATTGTGGTTGCAAGGGCTCATCTGTTCCCAGCTAAACTCCTGGAGTCAGCAGATGGACTGAAATAAACCAACCCCCCATGATATAGGGCTCATGCAGTGGCATGGCCCTTTCTGAGATGGTTTCGCAACAGCCTAGGAGAAAACACGCACACAATGCTTCCTGGCTCAGTGCTTTGACGGTAAGTGCTTAGGTCCAGATGTACTGCCCACATGAGCAGTAATCTGAATCTTGCTGCAAAATGAGGACTGTTGAAAATGAAAGTCAACAATGTCCCCACCAGACAGGGATGTTTCCATCAATTTGGGGCAAGCTGTGTATACTAGAGAGCTGGGAAGAATGAGGTGGGTGTAGACAGAGATGTTTCCTTGGGGTCAGGTGAACATCTTCATATGATTGTGAGACCTGCATGAGGGAAAGGAAGAGACATTTGAACTTTGTATATGTGTATACATGACTGTGTATGCATATATGTACATGGACATGCAACAGCAGAGGTTGACATTGGATGTCTTCCTGAAATGCTCTCTAAGTTTCTGAGGCAGGTTCTCTCACTGAATCTACAACTTATAGTTACACAAAACTGGCTGGCCCTTAATCCCCAAGGATTCTCCTGTGTCTAGCTCCCCACCACTGGGATTTACAGGTACATATGGCCAGACCTGGCTTTTCAAAAGGCTTCTGGAGAACCAAACTCATACTCAAACTTGCACAGCAAAAGCTATACTGACTGAGCCATTTCGCTAGCCCCTTGAGTATTTTTTTTAATTTGTACCTTTGCATTTTAGTGATTTGAAGATGTCAAACAAAAATAAAATTTCTCTAGTCTTTCCTTCCCCCAACCCACCCCAAGTGCTGGGGATGTGCTACATCCCTAGCCCAGTTATCTAATTTTGCTGCAAACTTTATTCTGGGTGTGTGTGTGTGTGTGTGTGTGTGTGTGTGTGTGTGTGTGTGATCAAGACACCAAGCTTTCAGAAACCTTACCCTAAGGAGCTCAAGGATTTCCTCAAAGGATGAACCGGGGTTTGTTTGTTTGTTTGTTTGTGGGTCTCTCTCTCTTGTTTTTTTTTGAGACAGGGTCTCTCTATATAGTCCTGGCTGTCCTAGAACCCACTGTGTAGATCTTGAACACACAGAGTACCTTTTGTCTCTGCCTGTGCCTCAGGTGCTGGGATTAAAGGCTTGTGCTGTCATTCCTGTTAGGCTGGAGTATTTTGTTTTCATTGCAGTGAAATATCTATCTTTAAATATCAGTGTCATGTAAGAAATCATATCCTCACTGCTGTGCAACACTGCGTTCTAATCTGTTTTCATCACTTGGGCACCTTTTGACCTTGAACCCTGGCGTTTGGTGTGAAGGGCCTTTTGGTGGACAACCTGAGGTCCAGGGTGGTCTAGCTCTCCCTTACAGGTGGGATGAGGAGTTTGTTGTCTCTTTTTTGTATCTGTCTTTGTCATAGGCCTTATTTCTGTGTGTTCCATAGGGTAGGGGACTTAAGGCTGTCTCTGAAAGAAGGTCACTAGACTGCCCTGGCCTCTGCAGGTCACTGAGGGTCTGGTTATGGGGCCCTGTCACCTGGGCCTCTCATCCTGCCTGCTCTGAAAGGCCCTGACGCATGCCATGAGGTGGTTTGGGCAATTGCTTCCACCAGTGCACCCTCTCTTCCCAGGAAGAGACTGGCTCCAGATGTTGCCTAAGCTTTCTCCAAGGGTGCCTCCTTGGAGTAAGCCTTGCAATCAGCCTGGCTTTGCAAAGATTTCCTAAGCCTCTAGGGCAGCCAGGCCCACATACCTACCTCCAGAGTCTGTTCCCACAGAGCTTAGGAACCTTCCCACTAATACTATACAGATTTAATTCCTGTCCAGCCCCCTTCTCCAACCTGATAGAATCGAGTACCTCTGTAGTTATCCTCTGTCTCAGTTTCCCCTTAGGAGAAGTAGTGGGAAGCTCATGCCAGCTGCTTTTGTCTTTGCAGGCATCACAGCTGCAGCCCTGGCCACGGGTGCCTGCATTGTGGGAATCCTCTGCCTCCCGCTTATCCTGCTGCTGGTCTATAAGCAGAGGCAGGTGGCCTCTCAGCACCGTAAGTACCTTTTTCTGGGATGGTGATGGGCTTTCCTGTCTGGGAGGCTAGTGAAGGCATGGGACATGAGGGCTGCACTGTCCTTACTCTTCTGTATCCTCTGGATACAGAACTGGCTCTGTGAATGAGAGAGAAGGGCAACTATGAATGCCCTTCTCTGGGCCTAATGTCTGCCAGCTGCTTCAGTGCCCAGGCAGGGATGGCTTGGCACTCCATTATGATGGAGTGCCACATAGAGTGGTTACCTTACTCAAACTGGTTTATAAAGACAATGCCACTCAGCTTCTCTTGGAGCCCTTCTTAAGCCTATGGGTGGATTTGTTTTGTAATGGGCAGCAATTATTGGGGCAGAAATGAGTTTTGGGATTCCAGAAATAGCAGAGCTTTTAGCGGTGACATAAGTTGTCCCCTTCCTTTCACAGACAAAAGTCCAGGCTTGGCAAGTTAACTAACTCCATATCACAAGACATGAGTACAGAGCTGACGTGGCCCCCAGCTGGCAGGGTTATGCTGCTAGGCACTGTACCAAGTAGTTACACACCTGTGCCTCACTTAATCACCACAACAACTCAACTAGGGGACATTGCTGTCCTCATTTCACAGATGGACAAACTGAGGCTTAGGAAGGTTCTCTGACTTGAATAATGAAAAACATGCAAATAATTGTGGAGCCAGGCTTCAGATTCATGGCCACAAACACTAATCACATCCCTTTTTGGATGACTGTGCCCCTTGTCTGCCCTGGCTTCTCCTATGAGCCTTGTTCAGCCTGCATTTTCTGAGGGGTTGGGGTCCTGTGAGTAGGGAGTCCTCTGTTTTACAGTTTCTCCCTAGCCTCTTCCTTCTGGCTAGCTGCAGAAGGTAACTGAGGGAAGGCTATTGTCACTAAGCCACACCAGATTTCCTCTGCCCTCCCCTTCACCTCCCAATCAGCCGGCCATCTCCCTACCCTCTTTCCTGGAGACCCAGTCTGGAGCCCCACAGTGGGCCACTGTGGACTGTAGCCAACTCACCCTTCCTCTCAGACTGTTCCATCCACTTATAACCCTGACTGTGGGCATCCCTAAAGCGGCAGCACAGAACACGTGACAGGTTAGAGTGAAGGAGGAACCCAGGGCCCTGCAGGGAGAGAAATGACTTGAAGAGTTACCTAGTCCCTCTTTCCAGAGATGGGAGGCTAGACTCTGGATGGATCCCAAAGTGCTTTCTGCTTTCTGTTACCCTTGCCCAGACTGCAGCATTGCCTGCTCAAGGGACAAGAATTGGAGAGCAGACACTTCAGGGTAGGGGCTGCAAGTGTGTGTTGGGGGTTCATTCAGCCTTTATTGGGCCTGGCCTTTCTTGCAGAGTCTCTGTAGGGTTCTCATTCTGCTCATGAGGTCTAGTAGGATGGAGATGGCTGGAGGAAAGAAAACTGAAGTGTGTGTGTGTGTTTGTGTGTTTTACCAGGCCAGAATGTCATTCTTATGGGGTTCTGAAGACACAGGCCCCAGTTTACCTATTCTATGCCTTCACTCTAAGTACTGGCTTCAAACTTTCCATTTGCCCCAGGAAGACATGTGACCTACACTTAGAGAAGAGCCCCGTGGCAACAATGGGCTGGAATGGGTTGCATTTCATGCCATGTTGAAGGCCTGTAGAAGGGAGCCTTGTCATGTAGAAGGCTCCTGTCCCAGAGTAAGAATGCCCAAGTACAGTAACAGGAAAGGAACAAGACTTTACCTCCTAGTGTGCTTTAATTTTACCTTTACCTTTAATTTTATCTTTAATTCCAATACTCGGGAGGCAGAGGCAGGTGGATCTCTGTAAGTTCAGAGCTAGCCTGGTCTCTATAGTGAGTTCCAGGGCAGCTAGAGCCATATAGTAAGACCCTGTCTTGAAACAAACAAACAAACAAACAAACAAACAAACAAACGGAATTATCTTCTAAAGCAATATTTCGAGTTTCTTCTCTGCCTCCTAATGAAGGTCCCCAAATCCATTCTCTGGTTTCGGACTCTTCAACAGAAACATGAGACATCAGAGGTGTTAGTGCCTTAAAAAGACAAAGTGTCCAAGGATGGGCAACTGCGGGATGTTGGGAACCAAAGACAGCCAGCAAGTCTCGGCAGGCAGTGGGAGGTTAGCTCATGGTATATAGCATACTCTTGGCAGAAAACTCGAGTCCTGGGTTGGGGGCTGGCTTGCCTAGGAATGAGCATGCTCAGGACAAAAGAAAAGAAGAAAAGGCAGCTCAACATCCCCAGCTCTAAAGTGGAGGTCACCATCTTTACCCCAGAGCAAGGTGTGGAGGATGAACTTGGCCTATTCACCCTGTCAGCAGAAGTGAACTACATTTCAGGAACTTTGTGCAACTTCCCTGTGTTTGTCTTGCAGAAGCCACTCCCCGGCCCATTTCCCCATGTAAACCTCCTCCTGCAAGAGGGCTCTGTGGGAGGGTGTGGGGAGCTACAAGAAAGAGGGAAGTTGGTGTTCCTGCATCTGGATGATGGCCAGTTTTTGAGAGCCCTCTAGGATGGGGTGAGGTGGTAATGGCCTGTTGGGGAGAAAGTAGGTAGAAAGGCTGGGAAGTGATGGAGAGGTTGAGGGAAGAAAGAACCTTATAAATTCTAGGGCCTGACCTTGAACTATCCATCCAACAAGTTGTAGCTAAAGAGCAGAGAGGCAAATTTCCCAATAGAAGCCATAGGCAGCACATGCTTGGGCCTAGCCTTTGGTTGAAACTTAGATTCTCAAGGTCTGTCACTGTAAGGCTCTAGGGGAAAGTGTCAGTCTGGGGCCAAACATCATCTCACACATGGAAAATGCAGATGCATCTCATTTGCACACAAAGGTGGCTACACCTTGGGTACACCTGCTGGACAGACACATGGAACTCAGGCCTCTTCAGGGAACAGTACAGGCTCCTGGGGGTGGGGCCTGCAAAAGGCTTCCTTCCTGTGACCAGCTTTTCTGTCTATCTGCAGGTGCCCAGGAGTTGGTAAGGATGGACAGGTAAGGCCCATGGTGACTTGAGACACTTCCTAGGGCCAGGTGTCAGGGAAGGGGGTTTCTTTGTGATGCAAGGCCCTTGCTTAGCACAACACTCAGCAGGTCGGAGCTGCATCTGGCACATCTGGGCTGCTGGGCTGCTCTGTGTGGAACCTTCACTCTGGCTAGGCCCTGATTCTGTTTGGGGTTGCTTTTAGTGGGCACCTAAGGGCCTTAGTGGTCAGCCTGGCTTAGGATGGGCAGAGCAGAAGTTGCTGGCTGGGGCACACTACAGCATGCAAAGAAAGCTCACGGCCCAGGCCCAGTCCTAGGCATGGTGGCTGAGCTGTGCTAGGTACTCTGAGAGAAAGCTGGCAGGCTGGGTGTGCAGAAACAAGCCAATGGCCACTCTACGTAGGGGTGGCATAGGGAGAAGGGCTTCGAGATGGGCAGGAAGGACATCATTATCTGTGCTTGGGCATGGGCTGGTTTAGATGGGCTAAGAATTAGCCACCTCCAGAAGCTTGGTCCCTGCTCTACAATGTGTTTAAAGGAGATAGCTTCTCAGATAGGTCAAAGAAAGGTCTACCAGTGATCTCACTAGAACCCCAGAGCTGGAAGGCTTTCACAGGCTGCCCTGGCCCAGCTGGGAAAAGAAGAAAAGGAAGGGGAGGTAGGAAAGATAGAAGTGCTCTGAGAGACACTGATCATCCTTACTTCTGTTTCTCTAGCAGCAACATCCAAGGAATTGAAAACCCAGGCTTTGAGACCATTCCACCCTTCCAGGGGATGCCTGAGGCCAAGACTAGGCCCCCACTGACCTATGTGGCCCAGCGGCAACCTTCGGAGTCAGGGCGGCACCTGCTCTCTGAACCCAGCACACCTCTGTCTCCTCCAGGCCCTGGGGATGTCTTTTTCCCATCCCTGGGTGAGTGTCACCTGGTTTTATAGCACCCTGACTAATAAATGTTAGGACCCAGGCTCTGCAGTGCCCCAACCCTCCATCAGCCTTTATGGTACAAAGTTGAATAAGGGGACACAAGCACCCCCCATTCACTTCTTTATCTTTTCTTCTACAGATCCAGTCCCAGACTCCCCTAACTCTGAAGCCATCTAAAAACCAGCTGGGGGACCATGAACAATGGTAGCTGGGTCAGGGACAGGTGCTCTTGATCTGTGGCTGGGCCCTTTGACAGACCTTTAGGCATTGACCTCAGCCTCCTTGCTCCTGCTCTGAGCCTAGACTCTGCTTTACAAGATGCACAGACCCTCCCATTATCATTTTTGGATGCTACATGGAAGGCAGGGAGAAGATGCCCGATTGCTCATTGCTGTTCTCAAGATCCTGGGATGCTGAGTTCTCCCTTAGAGACTGGACTTCACCAGCCACAGATGCCAAATGACCTACACCCTATGAATGTCTAGCACGGCAGCAGCCTTTCTTCATATGAGCCAGCATTCCAGAGGTGATGAGGTGGGCGCCTTGCCACCCTCCCAGACCAGAGACACAAGATGTGAGAGACTCCTGCCCACTGTGGGTGTGTGGCTGGCCTGCTGTTTTGCCTGCTGTTGGCCCCGACTATCCCCTGGATGCTGGAGCTTGGCCTGCTTGCACCGCACTAAGGGGGATTTCCCGGCAGCCTTCCACCAACTATCTGAGAGTCTGTCAACAATTTGACTCTGGGCTCTCACGCCTGTATGGCTGTCCACAGAGTTCAGTGACCAAGAGACTCTGAAATAGGACATCCATGCTTCTGTGATCTCATTAGTGTCTTAAGCAATGTGAGGCCAGAGCGTTGTACATGGAGAATAGTGAGGGCATGATGGGAAAGCTGAATGGAGACTGGCCTCCTTCGTGTCCTCATCTCAACTGCTCCCACTGTTCAGTGTGGAATGATGACAAAGGTGACCTCCACAATATCAGGCCACTTCTAAGTGTTAAAGGGATGCTATTAAAAACAGAACATGGCAACAGCCATAAACAGCTATGAGTTGATTAGAGGCACTAGCTGTAAGGCACTGGGGGTCAGGGCCTGGTGTGGGGCTGGGGTGGGGGCTAGAGCCTGGACTCCTTCCAATCCTGACCACACTGTTCTTCAGGCTCATAGAAGAACCTGTCTCTGGTCTGGTGCTACTCTTGGCTCCCATTTCCAGGGTCTGGCATAACCTGTGCTTCATAAAGGATTTTAAAGCATGAAGAGAAAGGAATAGTCCCTTTGAGGCAGAAATGGGGTAGCTGATGTCTGAGAGTGAGGAGAGCTGAGACTGGACAAATCATCCTCCACCTTGCAGGGGACAGTAGCTCCAACACTGAGAGAAGATCAGCCCAATGCCAACATTTGTCTTCCTGCAGCTTCCAATGGGCCTGGGTAGGAAAGCTCATACTAGGCCCTGCAGGCCGGGAGAAAGCCACTCGTTCCCTGAAGACAGAGGGGTAGGGAGAAAAGAACAATTCAAGGCTGGAGCACAGCAATAAGCTACCTTCTGGGACCCCAGACAAGTTGTCTGGTAAGGTCTAGGGGCATAGACCCCTGTGGGATGTCAGCTACACCTGGGGCTTGTGGGGTTCCTTAGAAGCTTTGTATCATCACAAGAGTGTTGGGGTGGCCAAGACACCAAAACCATGACCCCTATTTTGTCCCCAGGGTCCCCTTTTCTACTCTATGCAGTTACCATAGACAGAGTGTGTTGTTCTTTTGGCTTTGGGGGTACCCGGCTGGAGTGGGGGAAGTGTCAGCTGTTTTGTGGCAGGACTGTGGGGCCCCTGTCAAAGGATGAAACCCACAGGCCAGCTGTAGGATGAGTATAGTCTGTCCCCTGGGGGGGGGGGGGCTGGCTCATCTCCAGCCCAGATGACTTCTAAGAATTTGACTATTGGACCCCCTGCCAGGCTGGTGCTCTGTGGAAAGGGGAGGAGGCCCCCAGCCGAACAAGCCACTCACTTCCTGCGCAGCTTCCTCCCGTAGGGCTCTAGTCTCTTCGTTTCTGGACCCTGCAAACAGGCATGTCAGCTTGGTGGTTTCCTGTTTTGGGTGCAGTTTTTGTGTGGTCCAGGCTCTGTCTACATCCATGAACTTGGGCCCTACCACCTTGCTGCTGCTATGGAGGGGGAGAGTTTTGGGGGTGGAGAATGGAGGTATCCTGAAGTGCTAGCCCTTGGGACAAAAGGTGGTATGGTGGTGATGAGACTCAGTGGGGAACTGAGTTTCCAAGAGGAGGGAGGAGCCCTGTAGCTTCCTGTAGCAGAAGCCTAGAGAGGGAAGTCTGTATTTTGAAGAGCTAATTCATCCTTAGGAAATGCATCAGAAACTGGAGGTCATGGTGAAGCTTTCCCTGGGACTGGGATGGGGAGAACCAGGAGGAAAGGTTTCTGATACAGCAGGGGCTTTTTGACAAGCCAAAGGGCTAGTGGCAGCTGTTGTGGGCCAAGCTGACCCTGCTGGAGGACTATACTGTGTCTTGGAACAACCTCTCAAAAAAGCAGGCCTGGACTACCTAAGTTCTGCTGGGCCCGTGTTTCTCCTGCATGAAGCATCCAAGAGCCTGGGCAGATGCTGGCTCCTTCTTCAGGAACTGCTCCTTGGAGGAAGCAGCTAGGCTGAGGGCTACAGAGGGTCTATCGTCTCTCCTAACCTGGGCACTAGCAGGATGCTACCTCCTGGAAAAGGCTTTCCTAGGTGTGAGCCGGAGTAGCACCCCAGGGCTGACCCGGCTATGGTGGGATCTGAACTGAGATTTTCTCAGGGAACTAAAATAAGCAAAAGAGGAACTGGGAATGCCAAGCAGGATAGGGGCGGGGAGTGTCAAAAAATACAGCCCAGTGCCTGTCCAGACCACAGAGAACACGAACTGTCTGGCCCATGCCCTGCATGCCCTCTGTTTTGCCCTGGCACTTTCCTTCCCCATAGTGAATGGGAGTCCTGGGAGGCTGAGGAATAATATCAGTCGGGGGCTGCCTGGGGAGCTGATACAGAGTCCTTGGGTAACGGGGCTGAACCAGGACCCCAGTAGTCTACTCTGGGGACCTAGCTTTGTGTGGGCCTGCTACGATCCCCATCATGATATTATTGCTTTGAGCTCATGGTACCAAGGGATACATATTTCACTGGGTTTCAGTGGTTCTGATCTGTTAGGTGTGGCTTTGTGGAAGATATGAGAGGAATTCTGATGTAATAATACAGCTGATAAGAAAGTGCTGAGATAGATTAGTAATGCCTACCTTGGACACAGAAAAAGGAAGTGCCAGATGCCAAATCTTAATTTTTGTTGTTGTTGCTAAAATATGCTTCCCAAAATACTTTCATGTGTGTTTTTGTTTGACATCCCTTTCTATGTCAATCCTGAAAGTCTTTCTGTGTGTATATGTATGAAGTATGCATGTTTTATGTTTTTGTGTGTGCACATGGAAGCCAGAAATTACTAGTAGGTGTCTTTCATCCATTCCTATGCAATATATATTTTTTGCCTTTTTTGAGACAGGGTTTCTTTGTGTAGCCTTAGCTGTCCTGGACTTGCTTTGTAGACCAGGCTAGACTTGAACTCACAGAGATCCACCTGCCTCTGGGATTACAGGCATGTGCCACTGTGCTGGCTTGTAATGTATGTTTTTCAAAAAAAAATTTTATTTACTTTATGAATATTTTAGCTGAATGGATGCATTGGCATCATGTAAATGCCAGTTGGATCCCTCGGAACTGGAGTTATGGATGGTTCTGAGCTACCATATGACTCACGTCCTTTGCAAAAGCAACAAATTAACAGATAGCTCTTAATTACTGAGCTATGTTTCCAGCCCCACTATTGTAAGTTTTTAGCACATATTTAAACATTTTATGTGCATGTTTTTTTCCCTGCATGAATGTATGAATACCACATGTATGCCTGGCACCTGTGGAGGTCAGGGGAGCACTGGATCACTTGGAAATGGAGTTTTAGATAGTTATAGTGAGCTACCACGAGGGTGGTATCAACCTGGGTCCTCTGGAAATAGAACAAGTGCTTTTAACTGTTGAGCCACCTCTCTCGTGCCTCCATTTTGTTTTTGACAGACTTCAGTGAATCTGGAGCTCACCAATAGTCTGGGCTGACTGAGCAGTAAGCTGCGTGGCTCTGCCCATCTCTGCCCACCCCAAACCTAACTGCTGGGGTTATAGACTGCATGCAGTTGCCTGGATTTTTCTTGTGGCTGCTGGGGATCTTAACTCAGGTCTTTATGCTCGTGTGGCAAGCGCCACATCTACTGAGTCACCTCCAGCTGCAGCCAAGAGTCTTTACCATCCCCATTTAATGCAAAAGTAAATGGTGGCTCTCAAGGGCTCTTGTTTTGTGGCTGGGGATTAGTGTTGGCCATCTGGCCTCTCAGGCCTATTCCCTTTCCTTTCATTGAACCAAACAGTCTTCTGGTCCAGGACCTGCTATGGCACTCACCATGTATATGCTGGGTCCCCCGAGAGAGGAACTTGAGCCTACAAGTTCACTCCATACCAGGAATATATTCTTATTTATACTCTATCTTCTCTTTTCTTCTCATGGCCCAGAAAACCTGTGCTAATGTGTAGGCTCCTTCTATACCACTTCTTGTCACCCCTTTCCTGCCTGGTAACCACAAGGACAAATGACTTCTGGTAGACACAGTGGTCCGTGAACTCTACCTGTTTGCATCAGGGGAGAAAGGGAAGGGAACAGAGATCGTCATCTGAGTCCCAGGACCTCAGCCAGCTGTGTGTCCAGCATCTGGGGAGTTTCTCAGCAAGCAGGGAGTTGCAGGTGGTGCTTTAATGGCTGCCCACCCTGTTTCTCTCTTGCAGCACATTGATTAAAAAAATCAGTGTGAAAGGCCAGGGACTGGGTTACTCCTGCTGGCCCCGGGGCAGCTCTGCCTGCCTGATGTGAACACAGGAAAATGGCCAGGCTGGGGGCCAGGGCCAGAGCTGGGGAAGCCAGGGTCCTGGCAGCAGAGCTTTGCTTTAAAGAATGTGATGAACTGCTAGGGCAGTGTTCCCAGTCACAGCCCACCTTGGAGCCACCGCCAGGGTCTGTGGACAGAGTAGGTACAGATTTTCTCTCCAGTAACCTGAGAAGTCAGGGTTATCTGGGACTGTATTTCCTGCTTCTGGCTGTCATTCAAATGTCAAAGAGGCCACCGTCTCTCCTAAATCTCCTGCCAAGGTCCCTCAGGGCCAGGGCTCAGCCTCTGACCTCCTTATTGCCTTCCGTCCTTCCTCCCTGGACCCAGCCCTTCCTCCTGCGGGGGCCCCTTGATGGCCACTTGGGCCTTGCCATGGTCCTTCCTGTCTGTGGTTTGGAGCTAACAGAGGTCCCAAGCAATACAATGATTTCCTCTGGCCAGGTGGCAGGCCATTGTGTGGCAGGCCTGAGGCTGGCCCGGATGGCTCTTGCAGCCCAGCTGTCCCTGGCCTGGATGACCCAGGCTAATAGCTGTGGATAGGAATGTCCGGCTTTGGGAGGCAAGGGGGTGTTACCCGGAGAAGAAAGAAGGGGAGGGGTGTGGACACAGGGGTTCCTCTGGGATACCGGGAACTTTCTTGAAGCTGATTCCTAAGCCCTATGCACAAATAACACCTGGGGGCTGGCAGCATGACTTAGTGGATAAAGACACTTGTAGACAAACCTGATGATCTGAGTTCAAACCCCAGAACCTACACGGTGGAAGGAGAGAAGCGATTTTGGTAAACTGTGCTGTGATTTTCACAAGAACGCTGTGGCAGCTGTGCATGTGTGCGCATACTCACTCCCCATCTCCCCACAGAATAAATAATAAATAATGTTTTAAAAGTCATGATACAGCTTCGAAAGCCTTTGGGGGTCCCTGGCTCTGAGCTCCCAGCACTGGGTCACATCATTGCACAGAGTGACAGCTCTGTCCTATGTCCTTTCCCTGCAGCCTTGCGACTGTCTATGGCATCCTGGCCTCTTATATGGCCTTGCTACTGCTAACTAAGCGAGAGGCTGGCACTCCCAGATAAAACATCGAGGAAGGATGTGCAGTTGGAGGTCTTACCTGAGGCTGAATACTGTCCAGAACTGGCGACAGCTCTGAGACCCACCTCTTGCCTCTGACTGGGCTGATGTTCAGACCATAACATGAATGTGCTTGGATATTCCATAGGACCGACCAGCAGAGATGGGCCCAGTGTGCCATCTCCAGGCAGAGGTGAAGAGCTCTGTGCTTGTCCCTGAGGTCAATGCAGTTCTTCACTGAGGTGACTCTGGGGATAAGGCTCAGTTGGTGGCGTTCCCCCATAGCATCTCTGTACTCACAAGTCCTGGGTTCAATCCCCCAGCACTGTGTAAACCAGGCATGGTGATACCTAGTTAAAATCTCAGCTTTTGGGAGGTGGAGGCAGAAAGAGCAGGGATTTAATCTCATTCTCAGCTATATTGTGAGTTTAAACCAGCCTAGACTACAAGGAAACATCTCAAAAAGAAAATCAAATAATAGAGTTCTTTCTTCTATGCCAAGAAACAACGGCACACCAAAGAATGGATTTTCCTATTTTGTTTTTTTTTTCTGCCTCACATGTTTCTTACTTACTGTCAGCTTTTTTGCAACCAAGAAGTCCAAGAAAAACCAAATGTTACTGAGCACAAAAATCAATCTTTGTAGTTATGAAGACCATGAGACTGATTTATGACTCTGTAGCTGAAGATCTGTTACTTGTGGACAAACACATCACCGAAGATGATTAAAACTCAGTCCTTCTATGTCATCACAGAAAACAATAACCCTCATTCCCAATTAGTCACTCATGTCCTATTTAGTCCACTAGCAAGAGTGGCTTGAGCTAGCAAAGATACTGAACTGCCCTGGGCATGAGGATGCTGGTTAGGAGGGTACAGCAGAATGAGTCTTGTTTCTCACTTCAGAATGTGATGTTCCCAGGACTGTTGGCCCAATTCCTACCCCCATTAGTGTTACTCCAAATGAATGCCAGCCTGGACCTGCTGTGCCCTTCCTGCAGGGGCACTGACATAGCTGGTACCTAAAAGACATCTCTTGCAGGCAAAGAGCAAGTAACCAAGAATGTATCCAATCTTTACCTTCATTGAGGCCACACTGTACCCAGACTGGCTTATGACTTGCTTTGGCCAAGAGAAAGCCACAGAAGGGGCTCTGTGTCAGCTCAGACCTCTCCCTTCTTGTGCCTTGTGAGCACACATAGGCTGGCTAGTTGGAGGAGATGTCCTTGTCACTGCTGATGGACACTAGCCCACTGCCAGAAGTACAGCCTGATCAATTGACACACAGCAGAATGCACAGGACAGGAACCCCAGCGGAAGACCAGAACTGGTTGGCTGAGCTCCATTACCACCTGCTTGCAGATCAAGGCCTCACTTCACACCATCCTGGATTTGATCTGCCTCACTATGGAACTGTGGTGATGCGTGGCAGACACAATTCTCCCCACCCCCCATCCTCCCTGTTTACCAAGCCCTTATGCCAGCCTGAGCTAATTCAATTCCCCAAACACCAGCTCTGCAGATCTTATCTGCCTTTTACAGGTAACAAAAGTGAGATTCTGGCAGGCTCTGATTGGCCGCCATTCAAGGTCCCAAGCCACAGACCAGTCCTCCAGCACTTGCCCAGTCTTCACCGAGTCTGCAGGCCACACCTCCTTCCCAGCTCTGCAAAACCATGGGCATCACTTAACCATGGGCTATGGTACTCTTCACCCAGGCATCAGATGGGACTGCAGTCTCAGCCCTTCCCACGCCCAATGTCACGGCAGTGCCATGGCAACGCGGCGCAGGGGGCAGGCCAGAGGGCTGCATGCCTTACAGTTGAGTGTGTCTCTGCAATGCACAGTCTGCTCACAAGTCACATTTTACTCCCTGGTCAAGGCCTGGTGTCAGGCTCATCTGACAGCATCATTTAGGGACAACGACCCAGTACGGTGCAGACTAGAGAGGACCAGTCCCTTGCTTGGCCCACACCTGCCCTGGGAGACTCCTGCACTGTCAGCTTAAAGCACGGAACCTAGGAGGTATCAATGGTTTGAGGGCTACAAGGGGCTTGAGCCCCATCACTGTCTTTCCACCCGGCCCCCCAAGCAAGCAGTGCTGTCCCCCATCTCCATTGCTCACCGACAGCGTGGGGGTGCCCTCATCCTCCACGGTGACCACCAGGTGATAGAAATTTTGGCGCTCACGGTCAGGTGGGGCAGGCCGTGTGGCGATCTCTCCACTGATGCGGTCCATGCGGAAAGTCATGTCCTCATTGCCCTCAGTGATGTAATAAGACAGTACGCTGTTGATCCCGATGTCACGGTCAGTGGCTCTCACCTGGACCACAGAGGTGCCTCCACCCACATTCTGACAGGAGAGCAGGAAGTAGTTATTTTGGACTCAAGGCCTTCAAGGAAAATCCTAGCTCTGCTCCGGGTGCCCCTAGGCTTTGTTTAAGGCCTCCTGGAAGCTCTGCGTTGTGTCCCCTGAAGTGAAGATGAGGGTGACAAGGATGTTGGTAGACAACAGGCTTCGGATACCTCCTACACAACAGGTCCTGTGTGAGTTCCTTGATTATGGTCCAAACCAGTGAGCTCAGACTGAACGCTCACACTCATGTATGAAAAATTTCAGGTGCAGGAAAGGATACATACACACTCACACAGCCAATCAGAGGCTATAGCAGGCATCTGTCCTCAGAGTAGGGCTCTATCCTATAATACTTCCTTCGTGAGCAGACCCTGGCATATACCCGGCAAGGCTCAGAAAAGGTTTTCCTAGTCATCCATCCTTAGTGCCAGGTAACAAATATGTTTGCTTTAAACAGAAGCTGTTCTGGAGTCTTTGCTTTTAACTACAAAAATATACACCAGGCTGGGTACTAGGGCTGTATCTATGCAGAATCTCTATTCTGAGGTCTGGGGGACCAGTGGGCCAAGCAGACATTTAAGGCTGTCTTATGGCCAGCTTTTGCCCACGGACCATCCTGGGTGGTGGCTGCTGAGCATCTTTACCTCGTTCACGCTGACGTTGTATCCAAAGGGGCTCTCAATCACTGGAGGGTTATCATTGACATCCAGGATGGTCACCTGTAGGATGTGGTCTTTCTTCCGTGGAGGACTGCCACGGTCAGAAGCCACAACCTGTGAGGGGGAAAGAAGAGGAGGTTTGAAGTCAGGATTGAATTATGGGAACAGGACTGTGGAGCCCAAATCTCATCCTCTTGATAGGGAGGACCTGGGAGAGCCAAGAGACTTGCCAATTCATCTCGTTCCTGTGCCGACCACCAAGCTCCTCTCTTCTGCCTGTGCTACAGAAAACCCTTGCCTAAGTCTTGTCACATCCATTTGACATCTGACTTCAGTTTGCAAAGTCATCATTTCCTGACCTGCATATGTTTTGGGCTATGTTAGTGCTTTACCCTGACTTTGGGTCTGAGATATAATTCAAACCTTTGGTTCTCCAGTAAGCAGGGAGGTGGACTGGAATATTCTTTTGCAACCCTCTGGAATTCTGACCACATGCTGATCCAGTCCCTGGGGGACCTCAGTGTTGCCTTGGTGGCCTCTAGGCTCTTTGTCTCTACAGAAGAGTAGTGTGGGCTACTTGAAAGCTTATGGTGGATAGGCCAAGCCCAGCAACCACTGTCAGCAGCCACCGTTGTTAGTATGATTCTCCATTCTGCAACAGAAGCAGGCCAAGTAGGGTTCTTTTGCCCATTGCATATGTGGGAAAACTGAGGCCCAGACAGAAGAAATTATTTGCCCAAGGTCCTGTTCTGTTCCTGATACGGTCAGAATCCTACCAGCGTTCTTAGGCACTGTCCTGGCTGATTTTTGTTTTGTTTTGTTTATGTTTTGAGAAAGGTCTCAAGTAGCTCAAGGTGCTGTCAAATTTATGATATAGTTGAGAATGACCTTGAAGTCCTGCTCCCCTGGTCTCCACCACTTCCCGAGTGCAGGGATTATAGCATGTATTGTATAGCACCATGCCTGGCTCTTCTGACTCTTGCAACAGGGATAGGCACCTCAGCTGCTTCTGCTGGGAACAGAAGCCTGGCCCAGGTCACCCTCTCTCCATCAGCCTTACTGTGCTTATCCTTGCAAGGGCTTTCTGTCCTATGTCACTTGGTGATAGCAAGGACATACCCTGGTGACTGCCAGCGTATTCTGTGATGTGGGCTCCTTCCCGAGTGTTTGGCTCTGGGCAGTCTAGGCAGAGCCAGTGCTCACCTTGAGGATATAGTGGTCCAGTTCTTCCCTGTCCAGGGGCTTAGCCACAAACACTTCACCAATGGAGTCATTGCTGGTGACAATCTCAAAGGCCCCAGCAACGTTGCCAGAGGCCAGGGAGAAGACCACCTATGGAGGAAGAGAGGACAGGGAAGAGAGGTGACTGCTCAGGCTCAGGGGGCTGCCTTGCCCCCATGCCCACTGTGTCTCTCTTCTGCCGAGGTTCTGGAAGAGAGAGACAATGCCAAGGAGAGGGGTCAGGCCCACCAAGGCTGTGTGTGCTTGGCAGGTACTCAGTCCTGGGGATGTTAGCAGAACAGCCTTGGAGCCTAGAGAATGGGCCTGAATCTCACCATATAAATTCCCCTTCCTGCTTGGTGACAGAAATGGCTCAGATGGCCTCCAAAGAATGAGAAATACCCTACAGCCTGGGTGGACTCTGGGTTGGTGCCTACCTGTCCATTGCTGCCAGCATCAGGGTCCCGGGCCTTGACAGTGGCTACTCGCTGGCCCACGGGGCAGTCCTCAGGCACACTGATGGCTGAGTCAGAGGTGAAGTCAAAGCGTGGGCTGTTATCATTCTCATCCAGCACAGTGACATAGACCTGGGAGCAGACACACTCAGCTGCCTCCTTCCCAAGATGTCCTTAGACCGTGAGGTAAGCAGGGATCTTGAGCAAGTGTTCAAGCCCAGACCCATCCCAGCTGCTCACTTCTTCGAGCAGTGTGTGTGTGTGTGTGTGTGTGTGTGTGTGTGTGTGTTGCACACTTAACACCAGGGCCAGAACAGCAAAGAAAGGGGCTGGTGGAGACTGTCTGAGGTGGTAGAGACAGGGCAGCTGGAAAGCTGTGTTCTGGTTCATGGGAATGAAGGCTGGGAATACCCTCCTGGCACTGGCATAACTTCCTGTTTTTCAAGAGGATTAGGGAGTTCAGATTTTTATATGAAGTGAGCCAATGAGTCACAGAAATGAAAATCATGGGCAGGATGGGTAGGATGATTGAAACACAGCTGCTAGCCAGATTCCTGCCCTCTCACCCACAGTTTTGCATTAAAGAGAGATGGCCAGGCCAGGAGCAAGAAGCTACAGTGACCCCCCCAGTGAGGAGGGAAACTCTGTGACATTGCATTTTCTTTCGAGTCTGCAGTCTGGATCTCGGGTGGAGAAGGGCACTGGGAGCAGGAAGAGAAAAGGACCACTGTGGGTGTGGCCACAAGCCCTGGGAAGACCACAGGCCACAGAGACTACAAATACAAAGATTGCTGTTTGCTACATTTACTACCAGGGACAGATGGGGAGATGGTCTGGGCTTTAAGAACCCCAGGAGGAGCCTCTTCAAGCTGCTCCACCCCAGGCCAGTCCTCATCATTCTTTTCGGGCCGTTGTTTCTGGATCCCATATCTGACTGTCTTTTGGTATGTACAGAGCTCCCGGGCCTTGCTGCACCTTTCCATCTTACAGAAGAAACTCACTGCCCCTGTATCTCCCAATCAGGCTGCCTTTCCTGGTTTCAGCCACACCCCACATGTGATCAGGCAGCAGACAGAACTCAGTGGGAGCTGGGTCAACTCCTCCACTTCTGGATGTGTGAATTTGGACATAGTTACCCAACCTCTCTGGTTTTCCATTTTCTCAGTGGAAAACTTCTGAAACAAGAACGCATGCTGTACTGGATGCAGGAAGCAGGAAATGATCAAACACAGGTAAGGTGTCAGATAGTCATCTCTACGGTCCTTCCTTTCTGTCAGATGGACACTCAGCTTTTCCTCCAAAAAGTTCATACTTGTCTATCAGGCAGTATTCTGAGTCTGCTAAGCAAGCATGTTGATATGGGAAATGGGAATAATGATGCCTAATGCCCCGAGCTCAGGGCAAAACCCAGTACTGAGAAAACCGTCATGATCGGACCTTCCCTGCTGTCTTACAAGGCATACATTATGTCACAGTGACTGTGACAGATTCGAGTTGTATCCGCCCCCCCCCCCCCAATCTAGTTCATGCTTTGCAGGCAGGGTTAAATCTGCTTTGTGTTTCAGTAGCCCAGTCCAGTCCTAACCTAGTCAGGCATTGGCCCTGGCCATGACTGCTACTTTGATCATGCTGGTGACTGTGAGGGAGGGCGGGTGATGGGGAGGGAGCCAGCCTTGGTAGCTGAGCAGATGGGGCCTTCTCCAGCTCCCAGCCTCAAAACCTCACCTTCCTGCCCATCCCCCAGCACCTGTGTACGGCTCAGGCTCAGGCAGCTCAGGCGCTCCTATAGCTGGGTCTTCCATTCTGCCCTTCCCTCCTTACCCCACTGCCTGGGCAGGGAGGAGTCAGGTGGTGGTGCGCTGTGGTTTGCCTCCTGACCTCGGGGAGGAAACTGTACCACCTTTAAAGGTCTTCTCCTGCACCTACACCCGAGTATCTCAAACAGTGCAGGGCCAACTGGGCTCTGTATCTGGGGCATGAAAGCGAATCTTGCTTCTTGGAAGAGAGCCGACAGCTGAGTGGGAGAGAGTATCTGAAGTTCTTGTCATCCACATCAGAACAAGAGTTGCCTGGAACCACAGTGACACCACACTCTCATGGGATACCCAGCCAGCCTAGTCTCCATTCCCTGAACCTTCACAGCCATGGAGGGCTAAAGGGCAGCTGGGCCCATGATACTGAGGAAGAGGCTAAGGCTTGCTTAAAGCACCCCCTCACCCCCATACCCTCTAATTCTTCTGCTGGGAGATTTAGGATGTGGGGTGCCTGCTTGAAGAGAGCCATATGTGGGAATCCAATTCACACCCCATACCTCCACCCCACCAAGCTCCACCTCAGGTCCAGCCTTTTGGGGGCTTGTCTGACACCTCTGACCTCGCAGTCACTCTCCCCAGGGGCCTCAGCACACAGTCCTGGCCATGGGGCTCACCCATTAGCATAGCTACCATCCCATGCACCCCCTATGTTCTGGCCCGGAGTACCCTCCATGTGTCTCCCTCCCAATATCTACCACCCCATCTGAGGAGGGCAGGGCTGCTGGCAGCATTCTCCCTTTAGGGAGGAAAGGGAAGCACAGAGAAGTTAAGCAGCTTTGCTTTGTCACACAGCCAACCGAGGAGCCTGCAGGGTCCCTTCCTGTGCACATTCTATGCTTGCTATGTGTTTCTTTGTCATTGCATGTTCATCTCACGATCCCACCGGGACTGGATGGAATATGGAAGACAGAGCTTGGGCCCTGAGAGTGGGCTGCAGAGGCCCTTACGGGTCTGAGTGAAAGGCCTGCTGTAAGTGTTACCGTGCTTCCTCTGTTTTCACAATGGTTGATTGGTTTAGTGTGTTGGGGAGTATTTGGGTAGGTATGAGTGGGCACAAACATGGGCCACAGCATTTTGGGGAAGCCACAGGATGACTTGGAGTTGGTTCTCTCCTTCTACCATGTAGGTCCCAGGGACCAAACTCAGATCGCCAGGCTCGGTAGCAATCACCTTTATTCTTTGTACCATCTTGACAGCCCTCCTCCCCGTGGACCCTACCTCTGGGGAAGTAGGAGGGTCTGTGCATCATCGCGGGTATGAAGCGTTCATGGGCCAACTCACCTTCTGTAGGCAGCGGGAGCGGGAGCAGAAAGGGAGAGAAAGGCAGATAAAAAGGGTTACTGAATGGCTTGATACAGTCTACCCTCTGGCCAGGAAGTCTGTGGTTTAAAGTGCCACCCGTCTGTCCAACCAAGGTCTTAGACCAGATGTCTGGCCACATGGTGGTCCTGAGACGACCCTTGCCCCAGCTATGTGTCAGATGCTGGGGAGCATCTGGGCCAGGAGGGGCTGCAGTTGAGTAGGGCTCTCGCTCAGGATCCACTCACCACAGTAGAGTCCACTTTGGGGCCACCATCGTCTGCCACCACTGTCAATGTGTAGAAGTCACCCTTCTCCCTGTCCACCAAACCCTTGACTGTGATCACACCCTGTGGGGGTGGGGGACAACAAACATTTCAGTGACATCAGGCAGCAGTTCTTGCTCCAGCTGGACTCTACCATCTCCTCCCATCCCACTCTGCTCCATTGCCCTGACACAATTTTCCCATGAGGCTATTGGCTGAAATCCCATTGCTCTTATAGCCCATCCAGATTCTAGCTATCTCTTCTACGAGGGTTTCCTACCTCCCGCCAAACAGGTATTCTCTGGGTTGGGGAACCCTTTATGGTACCCATAACCCCATCATGACACTTTTCCCACATCTTCTTTGGGCACTCAGACTGGTATAGCTTTTATGCTTACTTCCATTTCCAGCCCAAGAGCTGTTGTTCAGGCTATGTTCCCAGTCTCCCCTGGGACAAGGCCTGGCAGGCAGAACTCTGAGTGGTTCTCATCCACTTTGGCCAGGGCAAGCAGCACATGGCCAGGCCATCATATTAGATCCACGCTATTTGGCTCAAAAGGTGGCTTCTACATGTGGAGGAGGCTGGCCTGACTCTTCTGGAACTCTGTACAGCAAGATTGTCTTCCAAGAAGCCTAGGGGGGTGCCAATACTGCCCTTCTGCACTGAGATGGTCCAGGCTGCCAAGTTGTGCCCCTCCATCAGATTGACCAGCAGGGATTTGTACCTTGCCTATCATCAAAGAAGGAAAGCTGGAGAAAGAGTAACTAAAGCAGAGAGGAAGAGCTGGACTAGACTGCTAGCTTAGTATAGCTTCTGAAGAGATGGAAAGAGTTAGAACTGAGTTTCTTAACAGACAAAGTAGAAAGGGAGATAAGATTCCTTGGATAATGGTAGGCTAGAAAATATGACAGAAGGCACAATCTCTTAGACCTTCCTGGTAACAGGAACATCTAGGGAGAGGAAAGGAATGTAGACTGAGCACAATAGACTGTATCTTCATGCTGGAGCCTTTATAAAATTCTCTGAGCTGTGTGGTTGGAAGAGCATCTGGACTAATGGATGAAATATATGCAGGTCATTTATTATTTTATTTTGTTTCTTAGAGACAGGATCTTACCATGTAGCCTAGGCTGGTCTGGATGTCCTGGAGGTCTAGATCCTCCTGCCTCAGCCTCTTAATAACTGGGATTACAGGATTGTGCCTGGAGGAGGCATGGAAGCACCCAGAGCTTGCTTCTCTTCATCTGTTCATTTGAATCTTTTGATTCAAATGGCCTTGGCACTGGCCACAGTAAGCAAGCAAAATGTCTCTGAAGTGGCTGCAGCCAGCTAGCTGAAGCTCAGGAGAGGTCCTAGGAACCCTTACTGCAGGTTAGTGAGGGGACATGGTACATAGCTGGTGACCTACATCTGAAGCGAGGCAGACTGGCGGCCATCAGATCCCACTGCCCCTACAGATCCCACCCGGCAGAGCTGTTCAGACCCAAACCTCCTGGTACCCAGTGGGTAGCAAGAACCTAGAGTAAGGGGAATCCTACATATTTTGGTACCCAGAGAAGCAGCCGGCCGTGTGAATTTAGAAGGAAAAGTATTTGGCTTTCCCTATTGTAACTTCCACTATTTAATAACAAGGACACCAGACTGATTGGCTTTCAGTATAGTGTCCTAAAATACTAGAAGAAAAGCACCGCAAGGAAGTTTATTTTAAGAAGAATGCTGTACATGCAGAAGGAGCTCAGTAGATGCACACTGGATTGGGAGAGCCCTGCCATGACCACCCGCCTCCTTACCGTGATGGCATCTATCTTGAAGAGGGCTTTGGCCTGAGCACTGGTATAGGCATCAAAGCGGTAGGTGATTTGGTTGAGGTTATCGATAGAATAGGCTTGCACCCGTACAATCTCTGTCCCTAGAGCCAGATTCTCCATGATGACTGCCTCATAGGAGGCATTGGAGAACTGAACTGCCTCATCCAACTCATTGAGAAGCGTCACGTAGACGCTGCAGAAGCCCTGGTTGAAGGGGGGTGCACGGTCTGTGGCAGACACATTCATCAGGTAGCTGGTCTTGGTCTCGTAGTCTAGATAGTCCACCGTCACGACGAGCCCTGTGCTCTCATCAATCTCGAACTTGCCCTCCGCACCAGACAGGATGCGGTAGCTCACCAGGCCACCGTCCCCTGTGAGAAGACACAGATTACACATTCCAGATGGGGCTGCCCTCTGGCTTCTTCAGCCGTCCATAGCAGGGGCTACTCCTGAGAGGTCTTGGCTGTTTCCTCTCCTACCCTCAGCATACACTCTCCCCAAAAGATGTAGCAGAGGGAGCAGAGGTCAAGGTGGTTGGCAAGACCTACTACACCGCTAACCCATTCTGGGGCTTGATATTGGCATTAGAGATCTGACAGAGGGAGTTGGAACTGCTCAGAACCTCAAATCTTAAGTTCAAACACCTGCCTTGACTACTTAGGTGTCTTATAGTGGTGATTTGATTCAGAAAGTGTTAGGACCCTCAGAGAAGCCAAGCCTTCATTCGGATCCCTAGTGGAAGAAAATCTCAGGTCCAAGGAATTCCCCACATTCTCTACACACAGTTACTCAAGCAGGAGTTGGGCAATTTGGGAAGGTAGAAAAAGAGACAGAGACAAAACTCCTCAGCTTGGGCATCCATGACTTTCACTAGCCTCTCAAAGGGTTGCCTGTGCCAGAAGAGGCCTAAGTAATATGTAGTGCCTCCGACCTTCCGCTGATATGCCATTTAGACAATGAACCAGCTAAGAATCCTTAGATCTAGGTCTCTGTCATTCATCCTGGGAGGCAAATGATCCCTGATGCTGAGGGTGCGTGGGGACTATTTGGGCAGCTACAGCCAGCATAGCAGAGGTAGTTTGGGGGCCTCTTTGGGAGCAGGAAGTAGGGAAGAGCCCTCTCCTAACTGAGAACAGGCTCAATAGAGAAGGCCGCAGTATCCTGGAATGTTGTCCTCTTCACTTTACACTGATTACTGTGGTAACTTCCTGGGAACCTCTGCCAAGTTGAGGTTGCCTTCAAAGCAGACCACTTCCCTATAGGAAGGATGGGTTGTGAGGAGACTTGAAGATACCAAACTCTGGGAATCTCCTGTGCAGTAGAAGATGGCAGCTGAATAGGGGCTGAGGCCGAGGCTAGCTTTATGAGATGGCTCCATTACATTTCCCAGCCCTTTCTTGGCCCTTGCCAAAGGCTAGTATTGAGCTGCCAGGTCCCAGGATTTGGATGTGGAAACATTTCCACTCTCCTCTGCCCATCAGAGGTTGGCTAACTTCCCTGACTGTAATCCTCCTGGGAGAGGCATCTATAGGGAGTGGATACCATCCAAGGAGCCCCTCATGAGCCTGGATGTGGTTGCATGGAAGATCTAGGGATGACAGGCCCCCTTGGCAGTAGGAAAGTCACTCTGAGAAAAGGCATCCCTGGCTCCCCCTGCCCACTTTACCAGTGTCTCTGTCAGTGGCTCGGACGACGATGACCGAGGTGCCGATGCCGGCTGTCTCGCGAAGGCCCAGGCGGTTGTACTGTTGTTGTGTGAACACGGGGGCCTCATCATTGACATCGTCCACATACACAATCACCTGCAGGATGCGCAGGGCTCAGCTCAGGGAAAGTGGAGACCGGCAACCCAGGGGATAGTCTCTGCTCCCTCTGGCCAGTTGAGGTTGCCCTCTGGAGGACCTGGTACTGTCTTATTTCCCACTGAATCTGGCCCCCCACACAGGACCTGGCATATGGCTGGGGTTCACACACCTTTTGGTTCTGTGCTGACCTGTGGGAACCAGTAATAGCAGCGGCACTTTAGCGTGGTAAAGTTTGGCAAATACAAAATGGTAATGTCACTAACGGCTTATGTCACACTGCTCCCAGGGTGGTTAGGAACACAACATGTGCCAGGTTCATGCAAGTGCTAGTTGGTGAGTATTGTGGTTTGAATGAGAATGGTCCCCATAGGCTTATATGCTTAAATGCTTAAATGCTTGGTCCCAGTTGATGGAACTGTTTGGAGAGGATTAGGGGGTGTAGCTTTGTTGGAGGAGGTGTGTCACTGGGGGTGAAGCTTTAGCTCTCCCTCTCCCTCCCCGTTAGGGATCAGATGTAAACTCTCAGCTATTGCTCTAAGTGCCATGCCTGCCTGCTGCCATGCTCCCTGCCATGGCGGTCATGGACTCCAGCCCTTTGGAATCATTAGCCCTCAAATAAAATGCTTTTTTTCTTTTTTCTTTTCTTTTCTTTTCTTTTTTTTTTAATAAATTGTCTTGATCATGGTGTTTTGTCTCAGCAATAGAAAAGTAACTAACTCCATCTAAAGATCAAAATGCATATAGAACAGACTGGGGGGTGGGTGTTGGAGGCAAGAACAGAGCCGTCATGCTTCAGGTCCTGTGACTCACACAACAACCCTTTCAAGATTGCCAGTTCTACCATGGCAGTTAGCAGTGTGGCAGCACTGATCCTCATCTTCTTCTAGGGCTGCCAGTGAAACAGTGGACAATCCCCTCTATTCATGGGGCTTCCTGGTCCACCCTTCCGCTTTCCTGGGGAAATTTACTAACAACTTTCATGACAATCCTTGTCCTGGAGTTGCTTCTGGGGACCATTTTGGAACCGTGTGATTTTTCCCATTGCTTTTCTACACTTTTGAAATTCCCTTTAATGAATGTATTTAAGATATAGAAAAATGCTACTGTTAAAGGGTGTTTATGGAAAGCTATGTCTATATGAACAAGAGTGCCCCCTTCTCCCCATACCTGGGATCATCCAGAGACTTTGCTGTAGCCTTGAACCACACTCCTTGGGAGACCAGAGAGGAGGGAAGGGAAGGGACATCAGAGTTCCAGTGCACAAAAGCTACCAGGGACCCTGGGCTCTGTCTCCTTAGAGATGAGGAGCAGGGAGGAGAGGTAATTTCCCCAAGATTTCACAGGGACAAGGAGGGCTGGAGAGAAGACAGAGGTCACTGCGGTCCCTATCTATCAATGCTCAGGCTCTGTGCTGGGGGTGAGCTGGCCCCAGTGTAAGAGAGACCCTTCTCCTAGTTCCCTAAGGCCAGGGTAGCATTACCTTTAAGCAGTATGGAAAAGGGAGGAAGTGGGGTTGGGTAGCTCATTGTGGACAGCAGAGGTCACAGAAGTCAGTGGCAAGGACAGAAATTGGGTGTGGGAGAAAGCCTTAGAGAACCTGCCTTTGACACTTTGACTTTATTGATAGCTGCCTCCGGGATTATTCCAACACCTCCCCCCACCCCACACACATTCCCACACTCCTCCAGGTTAGCAGAAAATTTACTGGATGACTCAGGCTGGGTAGAGTGGTACAGCAGTGGAGAAGAGGGGATGTGATAGCCAGGGAGGGTTCCCTACTTCATTGCCTTGAGGTTCTGCAGCCCTGCCATACCAACAGTTTTCATAAACAGACATCAAGAACCTACTATGCAAATGACAGTGTGCACCTCAGATCCCAGCTGTAGTACGGAGCCATCCAAGTTTAGCTCAGCCCACAACTTGTTGCAGAAGATCCTGGGTGTGGTGGTTGTGAGGGGAATTTGCACGGGTAAATTTTGGGAACTCTTATGTAAACAGAAACTATCTTTCAAAACTCCAAGCCTTCCCTTTCCAGAGTCTGCTTGTCCTAATGACCTTGACTTCTGGGGGCCATGGGGAAGAAACTGCCAGTCTGACAGTGTGGGGACAACAGGAGTGAGGTGGCATGTAGCTTGGCCACATGTGACCAGACTTAGTTTTGGCTGCACTTTCAGCAGTAGAGACAGGAGGAAAGATGGTATGGTTTGTGAACCCGAGAGACAGCTGAACAGGAAGTTTAGGCCAGCTGAATTCTTGCTTAAGAGGAGGAAGCTGTAAGGTGCCTCAGAGCCAGACTGCTTTTTGGCCAGAGTTTCTGCACAAGGCTACTAGACTCTCCAGCAAGGAGAAGAGGGCAGATGTGTGCGTACCTTTGTGCACCTGGGCATGCAAACAGCAGGTGTACACAGAGACGTCAAGCATCCACAAGAACGGTTTCCCTCCTGGCCTCCTGGACCCCTTGGAAACGATCTCTAACTCTAAAAGTAGAAATTACTGTCTGCAGGGCACAGTCCTCACATTATCAGAAAGCTGGAGAGCTTTCCTGAGTCTCTTAGGGAAACAAAGGCTACATACTGCAAGGGCCATCAAATCTCCATGCCAAGGGACAGCACCTGAATTCTGTTTGTTTGTTTGTTTGTTTGTTTGTTTGTTTGTTTGTTTGTTTGGAGACAGGGTTTCTCTGTGTAGCCCTAGTTGTCCTGAACTTGCTTTGTAGACCAGGCTGGCCTTGAACTCCCTGAGTTCTGGAATAACAGGTGTGCGCCACTGTACCCGTATTTTTTTTTCTTTTGTTTTGAGTACCTGAAATTTTTTAAAATTTATTTATTTATTATTAATTACAATTTGTAGCCCCCTCCATCCTTCCCTCCCAATCCCATGCTCCCTCCCTCTTTTTCTCCCATGATCCTCCCCATGGAGATAACCTAGAATCCCTGCACAGATGTAGCCCATGGCAGCTCAGTCTCCAAGTGGGTTTCCTTGTAAGGGGAACAGGGGCTTTCTTGGACATGAACTCAGTGGCTGGCTCTTTGATCACCTCCCCCTGAGTGGGGAGCAGCCTTACCAGGCCACAGAAGAAGACAATGCAGCCAGTCTTGATGAGAGCACCTGAGTTCTTAAAGTTACTCTTTGAAAGATGAGGCTCTTGTCAGGGCTCTGGGGAGCCTTCTTGGGCACTGTGGCACAAGAATAGTATAGTGTAGAGGTAAGAGAATCTAGCCCGCCTGCCTGGGGCAAAGCCTGGCTCTACCCATACCACCAAGGGCCCCTAACTAAGTTGATTAATTCCTCTTTGCCTTGGTATCCTCATCCGTAGAATGGGTGTGACACAGGGCCTACGTCAGAACTTGGTCAATTTCTTATTCCTCGGGGTCTTGAGGGCAGGAACATATAAAGGGGACCGTGGCTATGGCTGGGGTGCCTCACCCCTGCAGTAGTACGCAGTTTACCTTTGATCTGTTTAACACTCTGGGACGTTGCAAAGAATTTGGTTTAACAACAAGGTTGGTGGCTAAACATAGCATGTAGCAGCCACAATGATCAGGCACCAGGAGGAGGCTCTTGAGGAAGAGGTGGGTGGGGAGGGGGGGGGAAGAGGACACAGAGAGGGCTGTGGTTAGGAAGCCTGAGGTCCAGGGGTCCAGCCTGAGCCTTACTGATATCAGCCACTCTAGTGACGTGAAGTGAGCCTGCAAGGGGAAGGCACTGTCACGACTGTGCTCATTAGTTAGTGCGTGAATAAGAGCACGCCCTACAGGGAAGCACTGTTGTTGAGACTTCCCGGTACAAACTCAGGAAACAGAGTCTGTGTAAGTCAACCTGCTCTGTAAAGGTCCAAGGGACCTGATCCCTCTGCTGTGTCCACTTGGACAGGTATCCATTTCCCCCCTTTAAGGAGTGTGCATGTGTGGGGGGGGTGGGGGTAGCTTGTCGGGAGCCAAGTTTCTCTCTCACCTCCTCCAAGGTGAGAGCCGGAGCTGGGGATCCACATCTGTCCCCACTCTGACAGATCTGTATGGGACCCAGATTCTGGTTGGAGACATCCCTCATTAGCATGTGGGGAAGTGTCTGTGAATAATTTGAGTGACAGCTGGCCAGGTATATTCTGCTTGGTGTTTCCAGTCCCAGGAAATAGCAAGTTTCAACAGGCTGATTCAGCCATACTCAACCTGGGAGGCAAGTGCCTACTGTATTCCCATCTCCCTCCTGCTCATGACAGAGACCTCTGGGCTATGACTCACTTCCTTTGACTTTAGGGGAAGGGGCCTACAGCCTGCTACGTGTGTATCCCTGAGGGTGATGAGGCACGCGCATAAATAGCACAGGCAGGAGGCATATCTGTGCTGTCTGTTAGAGAAGGTACTTTGACCTCAGCTGCCTAGGGATGGTGCCTATAGAATGCATTGATAGGACAGCTGGGAATGGGATGGGAGTATTTTAGGAACAGTTTCGGGAGAAGCAGCATTGGACTTTACCCAAAATACATAGTCTCAGTCCTGCTTTTGCCTTTAGACATTTCTTTGTGACTCTGTTTCCTCATCTGTAAAATAATATTGGTATCTACTCCTCCAAGCTTATGTCGATGAGGTTTCCTCAATGCATTGCGAGAGGTGGATGGATAGAAGGAATAAGTTGGTGAGATTTCCTCTTTCTTCCCTTAGGACAGACATGAGTACCATGGATCCCTTTCCCTGGAGAAATTGAGGCAAAGAGCAAAATGACAAATCCAAGACCCTTGGCCCTTGGTCTCCTCACCAAATTCCTTGCCCTAGATGTCAGCTAAAACCTATTTGTGTTCTTACCCTGACAGAGCTCCGCATGGGTCCTAGGTCGTGGTTGTAGGCCTCCACCATCAGCACGTGGGAGGAGTTTCGCTCCCTGTCCAGGGGCCGAGGGCCTCGCATCAGGAGCCCGCTACTGATGTGGATCCGGAAGTTGTTGCCATGGTTACCTGTGGAGGGGCACGTGGGATGTGTGGACTGGACTGAGAGGAGGACAGCTATGAAATGGAGGGTGGTGAGTTCCAGGCCCTTTGGCGTGTTGGTCCTGCCCATAGGACCTGGGAACTTGGTTAAGGCCCACAATGGCCTAACAGAGGGGAACATGGAGCTGAGGCTCACCTGCCTGTTCTGTATATGAGGCCTAGGGCCTTAACCCTGGTCTCCACACCTCCACTTCCACTGGGGGTACAGGAGCTTCAGAAGATTTCAGAAAGGTCTTGGACCCAAACCTTACTATCTGTGGGTTAGTGAATCCAGGGTGTAGTGGACTTAATTGGGCTAGCTTGGTACTCATGATCTTGGTTTCTCTCTAGGAACACACTTATCCACACCCAGTCCCTGGAGTTCATGCAGGTGGCTATACTCTTGATATTGAAATCCAGTAAATGAGTGGCTGTGGTGGGTGGCTCAGGGAAGGGCTCCTGATTCTAGCTAGACCAAAGAAAGTAGATAACCAATGAATTTCCCAGGGACTGCCTTGGCTTCCCAGGTCCTGTCTGTCAAGGTGACAGTTTTGAGAACACTTAGCATATGGAGTCCTTAGGAACAAGGCTAGTGTACTGTCCTTTGCTTAGAATATATTCCACTTGGTGCAAACAATCAGGGAATTCTCTTCCTCCCCGAGCTCCAGCCTGAGCATATAGTGCTTGGACATCTGCTCTGGTCAGCAAAAAACAAGTGTTAATTCCACAGGGTGGTGGCCTTCCTTCCTATCTTGCAGCAGCCCACTTACCATGGAGGATTCGGTACCAGACTCGCCCAAACTCGCCCTCATCTGCATCTGTGGCTTTCAGCTGAAGAAGAAGAGACGGTGGAGTTATTGCTAGCACCAAGGCAGGGAAAGAAGCTGTCTTTGCAGTCCTCCATAGCTGGCCCCAGGCATTTTTATTTTCCATGATGACACCCTGCTTATGTTGCCTTATCCAGGACCACTCAGGTCTGTCTCTTTTTCACGAGGGATGGTGAGTTTATCACAGCTCTGGCCCAGGTTGGAAGAGGACACTCCATACTTCTATGATCCCCTACCAGTGAGACTCTTGACATCTTAGGACCAGCCCTAAGGTGACTCTGAAGTAGCTGCTGTATCACTGAAAAGCCCACCCTAGCATGGGTGAAGATATTTAAAAGCTGCATCCCTGGAGTTCCATGACCAACTTGAGACAGTTCCATTGAAGGGTTTCCCATGATCTGTAAATAACCTATGCTCCTGTAAACTTCTTGGTTCATCAAGGTAGCATTGGCTGGAATAATTTGTTTTTGTCATCAGTGGCCTATCTTGTGTGAAGAGGTGTTTGTATACATCATCCTGGGGACAGCCTTGCAACAGAATTGGTATCTAGTGATTTGAATGTGAAATGTGCCCCTCCACTCCTTAGGCTCTTGTGTTTGAATACGTAGGCCCAGGGTGGTGGCGCTGTTTGGGAAGGTTGTAGAACCTTTAGGAGATGATGCCTCACCCTGGAAGAAGTGGGTCACTGAGGACTGGACTTGAGGCCTTTTATAGCCTGCCTCTACTTCCCATTCACTCTCTGCTTCCCTAGTGTAGAGCACTGTGACCAGGCGGCCTCCTATTTTGGTCACCATGCCATCTCTGTCTGCTGCCATGATGGACTCATAGCCCTCTGAAACCACAAATCTAAATATGCCTTTTACCCTCAAGATACTTTTGGTAGGGCATTTTGTTACAGCAGTAGGAAAGCAACTAAGACACCACTGGAATAGAAATAGCAGAACATATTTGCCGTAGGTAACAAGATGCAGGTCTGAGGCACTGGACTCCACTCTGAGGAGGCACTGGAAGCAGGTACAGGAACAGTTGCATGGCCTTTGCCACAGTGACGGCATGGCAACTGAGGCCCAGGTGTCCTCCCAGAAAGAACTTGCTTATGCAAGGAAGGAATTACAATAGGAAAGTGATTCATGGATGCATCCTTCGTGATAGCCTTTGATTTGGCAGAAAAAATGCTGACAAGGGAGAAAGAGGTGGAGGTGTTAGCTTGCTGCTTTCTACAGCTGGTGGAATGCAAATGAGAGAGAATGAAAGTTAGATCTGCGATAAATAGATTTCCTGAGAGGCAAAGACTTGGAACCCATGGAAAGGGCAGGAGAGAAAGGAGGAGTGGTGTAGAAGTGAGAGAAAACACTCCTCATCTCAATCACTAATACAAAGAAAAGGGGTAACCTATCATCCAGCATGCAAGCAGAGACCTTAATTACACACAATCAACTATGACAATCCCAGATTACACAGCCTCTGAAATGATGGATTTGGGAAAGATTTACTTATTATTTTTGCATGTATGTATGCAGGTATGCCATGCATGTGTGGGTGTCTGCAGAGGCCAACAGAGGGTGTTGAATTCCTGGAAGTGACCAGATGTGGGCGCTAGGACACAAACTTAGGGCCTCCGGAAGAGCAGTGAGCACTCTTAACCACCAGGCAGTCTCTCAACCCTCAGGGGAAAAGGCTTGTAAACAATGAGTAAAAGAGCCTCTCTCAGCCTGGTGTGCGATCATGGGACACAGAGAAGGATGGGGACAGTCTGAATTGCATGGAATAAGAAACTAAGTGATATGACCATTCATTCCTCCTTGGGATGAAGATGGCATAAACTGAGACAATAGGAGAGAAATAACTCCCTGATGGGAATGATAGGGACACTTAGCTAAGTCTGACTAAGGTCTTTGTGGCTAGCAGGGACTGGAGAACATTGCTAAGAGAACTGTGTATGTGGGAGATGGTGACTAATGGCCAGTGTGTGGCTTTGAGTACTGTGTTTACCAGAGAGTCACAAAAGAAGTTGATTTACCTAGGGATGGTTATGGGGCTTTAGTTAATTTGCTAAACTCCCTGGTGGGCTGTGACCTTTATGAAGTGGGAAAGGCACTGATAAGTCTGAATGATTTAGACCAGTTCTTCTCAACCCTCCATATGCTGCGACCCTTTAATACAATTCCTCATGTTGTGGTGACTCCCAACCATAACATTATTTTTGTTGCTACTTCATCATTGTAATTTGGTTCCATTATGAATATCATAATGTAAGTATCTGTGTTTTCTGATACTCTTAGGTGACCCCTGGGAAAGGGTCATTAGACCTCCCCAGAGGGGTTGTGACCCACAGGTTGAGAACTGCTGATCTAGGCCAACATGTAAATTGGCTTTGTAAGGTATTCAAGCCAAGGTGAGGGGATGAGAGAGGGGAAAAGCAAAAGAAATTGTCCAGGTCACTCAAAAGCAAATGTGGTAAGGTTTGTGTCGAGTCATAAATGCACTAGGGAAAATATCTACAGAAGGGCAGATTCTGTGCCAGAGAGCATTTAGAAGGCCTTATGGAATAGGAGAAAGAGAGAGTAAATGGCGGTGGAAGAGATGAGAAAGGTAAGACCTGCAATGGGTAGGCAGCTACCCTTTTAGGGTAAGCTGTGCACATTCTTCCACTTCAAGAAAGGACACTGGTCCAGAGAGGTGGCATAGCATTCAAGACCAGAGGATTATCACAATTTGAAAGCTAGGATGGTCTACATAGCAAGTTTTAAGCTAGCCTGGACTACAGCATCAAAAACCTCACCCAGATTAGGGCCTTTTCGGTAACCAGGTGTGGTCAATGGACAGTGACTGTGGGATTGCTATAGAACCTATCATCAGAGCCAGAGTTGGGCCTTTAGCAGACATTGAAGATGACAACATGATGCCGCTTACCCTTCACCACCAGTTCAGTCAAGAATCACAAGCTAGCCCCTTCAAATCCATCATGGTCAGGGAAATACATGGCAAAATCCCCTGCAGTGTCCCAGGATAAGGACCTAGAGTGGCTTATGGAGACTAACTGTGCATTCTGGAGGGTCAGATGTGGTAAGCCCCCATCCGTGACGTGGTGCCCAACATTGCTTTTTTTTTTTTTTCTTTTTGAGTCCCCTTTGCTGATGAACCACATAAGCACTAGCACTTGTTTGCAGCAGATAGTCATGGGCTTTAAGATATCATGCCTGTCCTCTATGAAAAAGTTTCATTGTATAGTGCCATCTGAGTGTTTTACAGATTTGGAAAAGCATCTGGAATAATAGTAAAAATATCAGCTAAAGAGTCTGACTAAAGGCATACTATATAGGTAGAAAGGGCATATGCCCAGAAGCCATAAGATTATTGAAAAATTATCCCAGTGCCGGATGAGTTGTTTGCCAGGGAGGCCCCTGAGGACCCCCACATCAAATGGGCTATTGTGACGGTTGTTGGTTGCATGCCAACATTAGATGGTAAGTCCTTATTGTTGAAGACACTACATACTTTTGTTGAAGAAAGCAAGCTAGAGCTGGGAGCTCCCTCCTTGTTGGCTGGCTCTTATGCTGCCAGAAGGCACTAGGCAAGCTATTGAGAAAGAAGTGTCACAGTCTTACTCCGGACTCTATATGAACTACATACCACACATAAACGTGCCCTCTAGTATAATAGTGGGACATCCATACACACACATGTGTATGTGTATATTATATCAGACAAAAACGTGAAAATGTGTACAACCGTGGCGTGGCTGTTGTAGGTGCTTTTCTAGTGGATTGAAGGCCCATGCCACAGGGCAGAACTCATATTTGGTACTGTAAATCAGAGCAAAACCTTGTGGCTGGGGAAATCATAGGCCCCAGTAGCAAGGCCACAGCTTTTGCTCTGGCCAAAAAGATGTGATATGCCTGTCAAATTGTCTCCCATGCATCATTTATACCCATAGATTCTTGCTGCCGTCAGCATTGGGAAGGAAAATGTTTGTTTTTTAGCAGACAGTAATTACTGGAGAGACTCTTGGGTGGAACTGCTTGAAAATTAGGCAGGAAACTATATCTTTTGTAGTCATCACTCAACTGTTTTTGAGTTATTTATTTTTGTTTGAGCCCTGTAACTAGCTCTATTAATGTTATTAGTTCATGAAGATAGACTTGGGTAAATCATTCCTTTTGGTTTGTTGTCAGTACCCCACCTAAAGTGAGTATTTTTGTTCTTGTCTCCCTCTACCGTCCTCCCCAAAGAGGAAGGGCTTTGGGCACTGCCATGTTACTAGCCTCTGACACATAGTAGGTTTGTTTGCTTTTGTGTTGTTGTTTTGAGATTAGATTTCAAGTAGTCCAGTCTGGACTTGAACTCTTGATCTAAGTGCTGTAATCCAGTAGTGCTTTGCCATACCCAGCTTTTCACATATTTGTTGAATAGAGATATCAATGACTTAGTGACAAATCTCTAGTGAGAGATACTGAACTGACCCCTCACTGAGCACAGATGGCAGACACGTGCAACACAGAGCACTGAAATGTTTAGTTTTATGGTCCCTGAGGGTCTGAAAGCCCAGCTGCACCTGTGTCCCCATTAGATTATCTCCTTGATACTGTAAGTACTCTAGGATTGCTCTATCATGTGTCTTTCTTTGTCGAGGTGATCTGTAGTTTTGGTTTCTTTAAAAAAAATTCAGTTATGTTATGTAAACAGGTTTTTGTTTTAATCCCAAGTGTGGGATATGGGACTGTCTTAGTTTGTCCACGGCTAATAATTGCCTCCCGTGGCTCGGAGAGGGGCGTGGTCTTTGCCAGCAGGGGATAGTTTAACTCGAGGAACGCTCTGGGGTTCTGAGAGAGGACATCCAAGAAAGAGGAGGACACTTCAGGTAATGCTTTAAGGAACCATCCAGGGAGGAAGAAGGCTGCTGCTGGCTTGTTCCTTATTGTTGCTGGACTGCTAGATGTCCCGACTGAGACTGGTATTTTTCCAAAGAGCCCGACTACCCTACTAAGCCAGAAGTCGCCAAAGAGAACTCCACCTCCTCTTCCCACTAACCTTCTTTCTCTCCTACCTAGTGTTGGGGTGCTAGAGGTATTAGGAGGGATTAGGAGTGAAGAAGGGAGGCAGAGACATTAAGGAACTCCAAATAAAAAAGTTTAAAAAGGGCACAACAGTGATCAAATCAGAGACTTGGCACTCAAAGTTCTAATATAAACTTTCCTATCTTCACTCTTTGGACACAAGAGAAGGTCGGGAGAGGGAGCCTGCTTATAAAGATCAAGTCAGCAGAGAGACTGGGGCCCTACATTTGTCTGAGGCAGGGGATCTTGTCCTTTAGTTAGGGGAACACTGGCTCCCTACCCAGCACTCTCTTGTGGGGGAGTCTGGGCTGGCTATGTCTTGTCTCCTGTTGGGAGGGGCAGTTCTCTAGCTCCAAGGCTCCCTCCGTATCTAACAGTACACAGGAAGGCTTTTTCCCCACTTCAGGGTGGGCTGTGTTGTGGTGAAGGGCCGCAGGGCTTAGATGTCATTGTGGCTACTACCGTGTTGCATTCAGAGACCTTGGAGGCTCCCGACGGGCAACTGCACAATATCAGGCTCCTCAGCAGCAGCTGGTTGCCAGGGATGTATGGGATTCTGGGAAGAAAGGAGGGCTGTGGGGGAGGATTGGAGAGAACCTGGAACACTCCTCAAACTGTCCTTGGCTGTCCCTCAGTTCTAAGCTCCTTGCACTCACTTCTGCAGCCAGATATCTTAGAAAGGGCACTTTCTGAGAATCCAGAAAAGACAGCGCCTAGGGGGCTCCAGGGCCCATCACTCTCTGACTTCCTCCTGCTGTCTCTCTGCTTACAGACCCTCTCCCTGGTAACCTGAGCACAGGCAGGCATTGAATAGTCGACCATACCATTCAAATTTCCAAAAGGGGGTGTTGGGAACCCCAGGCCCATGGGGCAGTTAAACCCGCCTCCAGCTCTCACCAGTGTTTCCACAAATGAGAGGGCTCCAAGGAGACAGGTTGGGGTGAGGCAGGCAAAGGGCTCCCCTCTCTTTCTTCCCACTAGGTTGCCATCTCTACGCTCCCAGCTTCCCCTCCCCCAGACAGGCTAGGACTCTCCCAACAAAACCAGGCCCAGCAGGAAAAGCAGGGAGAAAGCTAGTCTGCTGCAGAAGTAGGGTCACAGTCCCTGGTACAACTTGGACTTCCTGGGACAGCTGAGAGACCTTGCCATCGAGAATACAGACCTCCAAGGGTAGGCTGTGAGGTCAATGCTGAGGGACTATAGAGAAAGCCAGTGAAAGAAGTGGAGGAGACTCTTCCTGGGAACTTGGGAGGGCATGAAGGTGTGCTCAGATTTGGGGAGTCCTTCTGTGTCCTGAGAAAAGAAATAAGGCCCAGTAAAGGGGAATGGCTAAGCCAAGGCCACGCTTTCTCTGTGGGCCTCTAAGGAAGTAAGAAAGTTCTAGAGAGAGTGTGTAGGGAGATGCACTCAGAGGAAGGCTCTAGTAGAAAGGGGCTCACTGTTCGGGCTTCAGGAACACTCCCTTCAGAACCAGCTGTTCTTGCTGGCTGGCAGCAGGGAATCAGGCAGGCAGCTGGACTTGCCTCAAGCTCCCCGGTCATAGCCTGCCACTAGAGTAGCTCAGATGCCTATTCAGAGGTGGCCCTGAGCTTGTAGCCTCACAGCTTCTTTAGGTTCTGAGCTAGTAGAATGGAGGCCCTTTCCTTATTGGGGCCAAGTGCTGAGAGCCAAGGGACAGCTAGCTTCTCTCTCTATGGGGGATGGGCAGTGGGTATACCTCATCCGTGATCCAGCCCAGACTCTGGGAAGGGCTGATCCATGGATGCTGTCCATTCAGAGCTCTTTCCAGGCCCAGGGCCTGGAGGGTGGAGGCCCTGAGCAGTTAGACAAGCATCAGAATTTCCAGCCTGGAGCAGCTGCAAGGGCTGGGAGGGGTCGGGGCAAGAGCTGGTTGGCAGGTGGGCAGAGAGCACTGTATGCCCTTAGTCAGTTGTGCCCAGAAACCAGGAGTTAGGTCCCGGAGTTACTGGTGAGTGCTGAGGTGGGACAAGAGCTAAGGGGCTGGGTGGCTGTGCTCGATGATTTCCCATAGGTTCAGAAAGGGCCATGGCATGACAGAGCCTCCCCTGCGGCCTGGCCTTGGTACTAGAACCTGAGGGAGATATAAAGTGAACTGAAAAAGAGGAAGTTGTGGTCCTTCTGCCTCAGGTGAGACTCTAAGGTTAGTGTGAGGGCAAAGTTCTATTTGGATCTTTGGATTTTCTGTACTGGTTTGTGGAATTCAAAAATCATAGATGCTGAACTGTAGGCTGGATGGAAGCCATGTGAATGTTTTGATTGGCCTGTGTAGCACATCCAATATTTGAACATTCATTTAAAAATTTTTGGAAACAAGTTTACCTGGCATTTTGTAATACCTGTTTCTCCTCTTTGCTTCACATAACTTTGAATTAGTTACCAATATTTAAATAGCAGGAGTGTTTGTCTTTAAAAAATAAAAACTTTCTTGCCTCAATTGAGAAGCTTGAAGAGCCTGGAAAAAATTTCTATACCCACAAGGGCAATCAGTCTAGGCTGACTGTGGGGGCTAACCAGGGCCCCCTAGGAGACGATCATGCTTTACCCTCACCAAGGCTCAGCTGCCAGTTGTCAGTATAGCCTGGTCCTCTGACTATGAGAACCATCTTGGCATTCTCCACATGGATAGATCCTCTCAGGGGGATAGTGGAAATATCCAGCAGGTGAATGATGTTACAGGGCAGGTTTCTGGCTTCATTCTGCCAACTCTTTATATATTTTTTATTTCCCAGGTGGACCTGAGTGACTCACTGGGCTAATAGAGGGTTTGGAGAAGGAGGCAGGCATGGGACCAGGAGTTGAACAACCAATCTGTCCTTTGCTTGCCTATATGGCCTTGGGTTTGGCCTCTCGTGCTTCCCTTGGGGCAGGTTAGACTGCATCAAGAGGTAGTCACAGAAGTGCCCTTGGATCCAGGCAGGTGAAACAGGTATGTGGTGGGCCTGGGGGAGTATGGCCAGCTGGGGCAGTGCCCTATATAAAAGGGACATCAGAGAAGCCAATAGTGAAATTCTGACATGTCAAGAGAAGCTAGGCAGATGTATGTATGTATGTATGTATTTATCTACCTATATATCTATAAATCTCAAAGCTCAGGCTGATCTCAAATGCAACTAAAGCTGGCCTCTTCCCTCCACCTCCAGAGTGCTAGGTACAGGCATGTCCTCCTCCACCCAGTCTGGAAATCTCATTTTTAAAAACAATCAAAACTAAACTAAAAACCCACCATGAACCCCATCAAGACACATGTATGGCCCCCTACAGCCTCAACCTTGGGCTAGTGCTAGGGCCCCTACTAGCCCACATTGCATTTCACTTGAACTTGTTTCTGATTCATTAAGTGCCTTACTGACTCTTAGACTTGGGCTTTTAGATTTAAGACTGTACGGTAATTGCTAAGAACTGATTATAAAATGGCAGAAAGCTTTCACTATTATGCGTTCCTCATGGCAGAAGGGAAGGGTTCAGTAGAAAGAAGCTCCAGGTACAGACCCAGCCCTATCACCAATCAGTTGAACATGATGCTTCTCTGGGCCTCACTGTGCTAGCCTGTGACAAGCTATCATGAAAACATGACTAACTGCTCAGCCCCCACTGCTATGTTTCAGGTCACCTGCCTCTGTCTGAGATGCGGTTTCTCTGCTCTGATTCTCTATCTTGCCCTTGCAGCCACCATGAGCACAGGGGGATCCAGCCTCCCCAGCCTCCCAACCTTCCTGCGGACTCCTGCCACTTCTGAGACTTTCACCCAGGCTGCTGACCCTGTGCCGGTTCTCATTGCCCTGGCCTGCATTTTTCTGCTGCTGGTTTCTTGTCTGCTGTTTATGATGCTGTGTAAGCCAACTGCCCTGGACCCTGGCCACCAAGTGGCCCGGGAATGCATGCCACATCATCCGGTGAGCCCCAGTGAGCCCAGGCTCCGGCTTTGGAAGCGCCTGGGCTCCCTGCGCCACTCTATGCACAGCTTCCGGCGAGGCAGGCCTGCTGTCCAGCAGTGTCCCTTGCCGGGCCTTGATGACCACCAAGGTGACTATGACTGCACTGAAGCCACCAAGATGTGATACAGTGCCCATCCATACACAGGCTCACCCAAGACCATCCTGCCTCTGATGGAGCCTAGCATAGCAAGCTGTAGGATACTATACAGATACTCTGGATTCCAATATCACCCCAGTATTTCCCTTTGTGTCTAGCCCATGTCCTTTCCCAGAAGACTCTGAAGTCCCCTGAATCTGCTTGCTAACAGACCCTTGGATAAAAAGATGAATGAATACCCACAGGCTTCTAGATGTTTACTCTGTGACTCAGAGGGAGGATACTGCGGCACTCCCTTTTGGAAGCTAGGTATTTACTGATCCCAGAAAGAGCACCCTTTACCCCTCCAGAAACCTTGCTCATCTTCTGAAGGTCCAGCTTAGACTAGCTGCTAAAAGTCCCAGATACCAAACCAAGCGGGGTGTCTGCCAATGCTGGCTCTACACTATCCTGCACCTGTGCTAACTTAGTACCCAGGGAAATGGACACAGGGATCCCTTTCTTGACATTTTGCCCCTGCTGGTGGATCTGGTTGGTTGCCAGGCAGGGATCTAGCAAACATCAAATCATGAGCCTGGGAGCCCCCTTAGTGGTCACCTGTCAAGATGGTTGGGAGGATCTGAAGATGGGTTAAGATGTTTCCTGTATGCTGAGTGTGATAGCTCACACTTGTAATCCCAGCACTCCACAGGCCGAGGTAGGAGGATTGTCTAAGGCAGCCTGGGTTACAAGATAAAATCCTGACTCAAAATCAAAACAAATCAGACAAACAAACAAACAAACAAACAAACAGGCTGTTGTCCAAGGCTAGGTGGAAGCTGTATCACTGTGGTAGGAGGCTGACCACTGGCAGCACCAAGGGGGTGTTGTCTGAAGATGCATGGCAGTGGTACTGTGTCTCACTGCAAAAGGGGTGGTCTCCTCTCAGACAGCATGGACCAGACCTCTCCGGATGGCTGCAGGACCAAAGCTGGATGGACTAGCTGTGCTCTACATGTTGAGGCAACAACTTTGTCAAGTGACACGTCAAACCAGGCCTACTCCTGTGCTGTACAGGGTGCTGGGAATCTCACCCTCTGTTTCATCTGTAGCCAAGGCCTTCTGCTACATCTTAGACCTGAAGATGGAACAGTGGGAACCTGAGATGCTTGGCTCCTCTCCCAGAGTCCAGAGCGCATCCCAGGGCTACCCGCTCCCCTCTGCTGTGACACCTAGTAAAGATACTCTAGTCTTCCCAAGGACTAAGCTCTGGCTTTGTTTTTACCCCGTCTAGAGCCTTCAACTGTTTCCTCTGTGTCTGCTGGATGTGCTCACTATGGTGTGCAGCAGGACCTGGGGACTACAATGTATCCTTCTAGCCTTATTCTGACCAGACACTCCAGGCAACTGAGTGATCTGTCCCCTGTCTGTGGTTTATGCTTTACTAATCTGCAAATTGTGAAGCCTTCTTTGTTTTCCAATAGAGCTGCCCTTCTGCCGGGAGCTCCTCCGGTCTCTCCTCTGTCTCGGGGAGGCCAGCAGCATGCACAGACTTGTCTGTCTTCTTTCCTACAAGCCTGGGAGCCGCAGCTCTCACTGCATCCCCACTCACCAAGGCAGCAGGCATCTGGCTTGACGCACACTGACTTTCCAGTGTCCCTGTGACAGCCTTAAATTTGGCTCTCAAAGCATGCTATGGAGATAAGGTGACTGTGCCTCCCTCCTGTGACCTCAGAGAGAGAGAGAGAGAGAGAGAGAGAGAGAGAGAAAGGGAGAGAGGCCATCTTTGCAGGGCACTTCTAGGGCCTGAGAGAAAGTGTCCTAAGACTCTGAATGTCTAAGAAGTGAAGACAGCAGGGGAGCCCTGTGTCACTCTAGGGTGTGGACCCAAGTCTTATGCACATAAAACCCAGCATTTCAGCCAGGTGTGGTGGCACACACCTTTAATCCCAGCACTTGGGAGGCAGAGGCAGGAAGATCTCTGTGAGTTCGAGGCCAGCCTGGTCTGCAAAGTGAGTCCAGTACAGTGCTATACAGAGAAACCCTGTCTCAACCACCCCCCCCAAAAAAAAAGAAAAGAAGAGAAGAAGAGAAAAGGAAGGAAGGAAGGAAGGAACGAATGGAGGGAGGGAGGGAGGGAGGAAGGAAGAAAGAAAAAAGAAAAAAGAAAGAAAGAAAGAAAGAAAGAAAGAAAGAAGGAAAGAAGGAAAGAAGGAAAGAAGGAAAGAAGGAAAGAAAGGAAGAAAAGCATTTTCAGGGCCAAGAAGCAAACCAGCTTCCTCCCATAGCTATTTTTGGGCAACCCCTCCCCTCTTGTTTCTTCACCTCCCTGAAGCACCTTGGGCTAAAATGTAGGCATGAGGTTCCCCCTTGACCTGCTATTTTGGGCTCACTACAGGGTCTGGGGGGCTTATGAGTAAGTTGGGAATGGCAGGTACTAAATTACGGTAGGGCTCCATCGCTTCATGGCTGGTAACTTTAATTCTTTCTTAGCTGAGGCCAGAGGAAGAGACCCTCCCTCTGGAGCCAGCCTTCCTGGATTCTATCAAGAGTCAGCTTTCTGTTTCTCTCCTGGCCATTCACAGTGCCCACACAGGGATGTAGGCACCCTCCTACCTCCCACTCTTCCTTCCCTCTTGAGCTAGTAGCAGGCCCATCTTTGTTGAGTTTGGCTCACCCTTGGATTGAGTCAAAAACACTGAGGCTGGTGAAATGGGCTATTCATTTTCTGTCTTCCCTCCCAGCAACTGAGCACCCCTGCCCCTCCCTCTTTCTCACTGTGTGTGTGTGTGTGTGTGTATGTGTGTGTGTATGCTTCATGATTCATTTTCAGGGTCCTCCTCCCTCTGAGACTCTTAGCTCCTACTCCTTTCTTCTTGTTTACTTCCAAGAGGGGAGCTTGGCCAAGAAGCAGTGAAAGCCTCTCTGTTCTGGCCTCGCTGAACCCTGGCTCTCTCTCCTTGATTCCTTTCCAGGAAAGCATTACTCCCCACTCCCCACTGCTCTGAAAGGCTCTGGGGGAGGCCAAGGTGAGCCAGGGCCTTGTCCTCAGCTCACACAGTCTGGGGCCCTCTCTTCCCCAAAGGGAGGAAGGATCATGCCTCCCTTTTCTTGAAGTGCAAACTACTTCCAGCCCACCTTGGACCCCTGCAGTCCCACCTCTTATGGTACGACTCTACTGAGCCAGTGCCCTCAGGGCTGAGCATTGCCCTGCCTGGCGCTAGCCTGCCACCTACCTGCACAATGCTGTGGCCCTCCGGGATGTCTTCTGGGACGCTGGCCTCATAGCTGCTTTGCAGAAAGATGGGCCGGTTGTCATTGACATCCAGAACTGTGACAAACACAGTGGCCGTGCCTGTGTGCCGCTTGCCCACAGGGCCATTGTCTGTGGCGGGGGTGGTGAAGAACAGGCATTAGCAGCTATGCAGTCCAGGTCATCAGCAAGAGTTACACTGTTTTACACCAGCCTCAAGGGATGGCGGCTCACTGTCCTTCCAGACCAGCAGCAACACTAACAATACTGACCTCGTGCCTCCTCTCAGATGGAGACTCACTCAGTCCTCACAACAAACCAGGCAAGCAGGCAGGATGCTCCTTCCCAGCTCACAGCTGGGCTACCCAGGCACTGAAGAAGGCGGGGTGAATGGCCAAGCCTTCAGCAGCCTATGCACATTATTCGTTTCATAAAAGGGGTCTCTGGAGACATAATGACGTCAAAGATCTTTAAGGGAGGCCAGTCCCACTGTCCATTTACCCAGGGATTAGATGACACTGTATTCTGATCACAGTGGCCGCCTGTCATCCCTCAGGGGAAGCCAAGGCAGGAGGATTATTAGAGATCAGTTATTTGAGTGTAGTTTGTCTCAGAAAACAACTACCGACAAAGAGAAGGTCTGGTGAAAATAGGGCTATTTGCCAAGGAACCCTGTGGCCACAAGATGTGGAGGAGCAAGGAAGGATTCTGACCAGAGGCTGTGGAGGGACTGTAGGTCTGCCAACAACTCAATTTTGAACTTCTAGAACAGGGAACACATCTGTGCCTCTGTTAAGGCACCAAAGTTGCTTTAATTTGTCTCAGCAAGCCTGGGACCCACAGCGGTGATGACAGTGTGAGAGGTGAGGGACACAGGTAAGACACTTGGGTCAGCCACCTCAAGGGCAGGTGTTCACTGCTCGAGTCACAGAGGATGGGCAGAATGTGGGCCCACGGACACCTGGCTTCTGATTTCTCAAGAGAGTGAACTCCTGAACTCTGGAATAAAGGCTTAAAAATGTTTCCCACTAAGTATTATTGTTCCTTATTAAGCATTGGGCTGGCCGGATCAGCATGCCTACTTGATGAGCTTGGCCTTTAAACTTAAGGCATGCTGAGGCTCTGCAGGAGCCATCCAGGGTGGAGAGGTATGACATGGGAGCCACAGCCCTATCTGGGAAAGCTGCTGAAAGTCCTCCTCAGAGGATGATCCTCCTGCCAGTGTGTGCCCCAGCCACAACGTTCAACCCAGGGAGGAGAGGGGCACTTGGGTTGGCTGGGAAGCAATGGTGACGTGGTTTTTCTTCCTACTTGAGCATATGCTGAGGTGCGGATCGTTCACCCCAGGGTGGTCCCTTTTCTAGGCTCCTCCCTCTCATCCCAAGGGCATTGCCTCAGCTAAGGATGCTGAACTGGGAGACTTTCATGAAGCCAAGGCTGGCTCTAGTTGAGTGACAGCTCTTCAGAGGACAGTGTCTTCCCAGGCGGCACTCAGGATGGGCAGAGAAGAGCCAGCTGGGCATGGCTGAGTTGGGAAGAGCACAGTATAGCTCATTCCTGCTCACCCAGCAAACTCCACAGTGTAGAGGGTGCTCCTGGGAGGACCAGGAGCCACTGTGGGAAGGGAACACAGACCTCCCACACCTGTCCCCCTCCAGTGAAGTGCTTCCTACTGCTTAGAGAGCAAAGGCCAAGCTTTTGGTGCAAGATTCAGATTTCCACATCCTTTCCTGTCTCATTATAGCCTTTGCTTCCAGAGCTGGAACTAACCACAGCTAGTCTAAAAGCTGCTCCCAGTAAGGCTGGGGAAAAGGCCAGTGCTGCCCTCTCTACTGTTACACTTGAACCCAGGAGGATGTTGAACTGAGGTGGCTGTAATGAATGGCCACCATAGTCCAGAGAATGACCCACTCAACCACAGAGGCAGAACAGCCAAGTCAGGGAGCCCAAGGTCGGACAGCCCTGAGCCCTGACCACCGCAGCCCATTCATTTTAATTTTTGATATTTTTTTGAGAAAGGGTCTCATGTGGCCCAGTCTGGCCTCAAACTTGCTGTGAGCTTGGGAATGATCTTGAACTCTTGATCCTCGTCCCCACCTCCCCAGTGTTAGGATCACAGGCGTGAAGCACCGTGTCACCTGTTTTCCCTTCTGCCTTGAGCAGCCATGAGTCTACTTCTTGGCCTGTGGCCTTACCCTTCTTAGCAGCCAGGAGCACGGGACAGTAGCCGCCCACCCTCCAGCGCCCAGTGATGCCATGAGTGTGGTGTGCCATTCTTCACCAGTCTCAGGGCAGAGTTTTGGCTCCACGCCTGATTCCCCATGTGAATTCTGCCTGGAATAACTGCCCAGACAGTATACAGGGCAGCCAGAACGTACCTATGGCTTCCAGAACCAGTGTGTAGGCAGCTGTGGTCTCACGGTCCAGGCCCACCACAGTTCTCACCGTGGCATCACGGTAGCCCACACTGAACTTCCCGTCCACGTTCCCCCCTGCAGGCAGAAGTGGAGGAAGATTCAGGGTGGGCAGCAGAGCTCTACGTCAGACAAAGGAGGGGGGCTTTGACTTTACTCCTAAATAGGGACCCGCACAGGATCCCTCAGAGGATGCTCTCCCGGGCAGAGGGTGCAGCTTGTGTGGGTGAATGACTGAAAGCATGAGTGTTTAACATCCACTGAGCACCTACTCTGCAGCAGGCACTCCAATTATGGACCGGCTTGTCTCACCCTCCCCTGATCTGAGCTTCTGGGCCCTGTCCTGGGCTCCTCCCGTATGCTGACTCTGGACTGTGGATCCAGCCCATGTTGCCCTAGAATCTCTTTTGAAGGAGACTGAGCAGATGGCTTGGAAAGGGCTTTTTACATGTGGCCAAAGACTGGCTTTGGGGTGGGATGGCGGGGCTGGGAATTTCCCAGGAGCCTCACCTTTGGTGATAGCAAGGGGCTAAGGACTACAGTTCTCTGGGTGGGAACTCATGGAGGACCATAATGGGGCAGGGGGGCAAGTGGACAGGAGTCAGGTGGGTTTGGTGTCCCTGGATGGTGGTCTCCTTGTGGGTTGGAGCCAGGGTAGGTACTCTCTGGGACTAGGGAGAGAAGCTGCCTGTGTGAGCTGGTTGCAGTACAGACTCTTGACAGCAGAGGGTGCCATGGCACTGTGCTTGGAAGAACTGAGGCGGCTCAAGAGAGTAAAGGTCTAGGAGGGCTCACGACCAGCCAGCAGGAACCAGTCACTGTACAGGTTCTGGCAGGTCTCTCCTTCCTTTACACGGTTTGCCCCGAGGGGCCGGCCCCGAAGTCAGCTTCCAGGCTCCTCACAGTCTTGCAAGGGACAGAGCACAGCCCTGCACAGGGCAGGGAGGAAATAGACTACAATTCAAATTAGTGGCAGAACTTCTAGGCTGATGCCATGTGGGGGGGGGGGGGGGGGGGTCTCGCCAACTGTGGCTTTCTGGAATGGTCTTTGGGCTAGGAGCACGAAGAGGAAAGAATGGGAGGGCCTGGGATGGCCAGCCCGAGGCCTGAAAAGTCACTGAGGCTACAAGAAGCCACAGGGACACAGAAGCCAGGATCTGAGCCTGGGATCCCTTGCTGCTGGGGAGGGGTATCGGAGAGGGTAGCGCCTACCCTACATATGTGTCGAGGTGCGCATGCACAGATGTGGCATATCTGTTCAGGGCTCCAGATGGCTCACAGACAGAAGGCTCTGGGTGGGCTGAGAGATGGAGAGGGCTCTTCCCTCCTTCCTGCGTCCTAGTGTTGGTGCAGGTGGGCCAGGCATCGAAGAAGCAGGAAATGGTTCTAACTCACGGGGTGACAACCACAGAGCATGCTTACCATTCCCCATGGGTTCTACTACCGTGGTAGGTTCACTTTCTCCAGAGAGTCAGAGCAGGGCCTCGTCAGCTTTAGCCACACCCCTATTGATGGTAGCTATTGAACATGTTCCAGCTCAAACTAATCTATTCAGGTGGGTTGCAACCACCTACCTCTCAACAAATAGGCATTTTTGTGAGTCACTGGGGATGGACAAAGCCACACTCCCACAAACTGCTTCCTCACCCTGAAGTGGGGTGAAGGGACACTTCAGTCAACACTGTCTCCTCGGCCTAACCCACAGGACAGCCTCAGCCTCAAAGCTCCCTGGGAAGCAGGAGCAAACCCTTGGGGAGGCATGGAGGAAGAGGCCAACGCCCCCTTTCCATGCTTCTGCCCCCCCTCCCCCGGTCCAGGTCCCTGCTGGGCAGCCAGGGCAGCACCTGTGATGAAGTAGCTGAGCTCTGCATTGAGGCCCACGTCATTGTCCGTGCAGTTCAGCCACAGCACACGGAACTCCCGGGGAACGTCCTCAGACACAGACACGTTGTACATAGCGGGGAAGAAGGTGGGCGTCTCATCATTCACGTCCAGCACTGCAAACAGAGGGGACACACTGGCCTAGGCTTGCCGGCTACGGTGGATGCCGGGAACCGTGCAGGAAAGAACTTCCAAGGGGGTGATGAGCTTCATGTGGCATCTGTGTCAGTGCTGTCTGGTTATGAATCCAGGGGTCCTGCATGGTGGCTGAGTCATACAGGTTCAAGCTGACCAGAGCTGGCACTCCCTGCCCCCCAAACCATCCCTAACTGTTAAATGTAGGTGAGGGAAGCCCGGAGCACCCCTCCCCCAGCATAATGACAATGATGTTGAGGGTTTCTCACACAGTCTACAGCCACGCCTGTGGCATCTTTCCGAGGTGGCCAGCACCAGCCACACTGTCGGTGGGAGGATGGAAGCTCAGAGCAGTTAAATAACTTGTCTATAGTCACACAGCAATAGAGTGGAGAGGCTGTGATCTTGGGGAGTTGACCCTAGTTTTCAAAAGGGATCCCAGAGAAGGAAGCTGGCTCTGAAGTTTTTCCTTTCTAAACATTTTATTTCCCTTAAATACTTGTGTGTCCAGCTTTTCGCAGGCCTCTCTTCCTCGGGCACATGGAGTTCGGATGGTCCTCACAGGTGAGACGAACCTCCCTGCTCTCTGTGCTGTAACTGGGAGAAGTGACTGTCTGTTGTTACGACCTATGTTTTCTGGCCATTGTTACTCTCTACGGTTTTTCCTGAGTTTGGAAGAGGTGACACACTTCCTATTGATTATTTGGTGAAGAAGTAGGTCCCCCAACTGGCTCCCAGCATCTATAAGGGAGTCTTGTATCCATAGGATAAGAGGACAATGGGCTCCAAGACCCTTACTATCCCAGGTGCCCACTGAAGCAGGAGAAGCTGTGTGTCTGTGTTAGGTTAACCCCTTGCCTATCTCCTTCCCTGTATCCTTTGGATGGAGAGCCAGGAAAGCCGTGCCAGGGTAAGCCCTGCATGTACTTCCTCAGGGTCATTCCTGCCTCCAGCCACACTCTGTCAGTGTCTCCATTTTTCTCAGAGCTAAAGACCTTGCAGATGGGAAATCATATTCCATCATACAGGGCGGACATAATGGCACTTGGTCTCAAGGGGTGAAGAGTCTGGGAGTGGAGGCCCCTCACTACCCTCTTTCCACAACAGCCATACCCTTCCATAATTCCATAGCCATAGAATGGGGAATCTTCTTTATATCTGAGGAAGCACCAGCTTTCCTAAGATGACAGTCCTGCTTAGACCCCTGGGGTCCCAGCATCAGCCTTGAGTTCACTTTAGATGCTGTGATGGGAGACTAGGAGGGATGCGGGCCTTGGTGGGGCTCTGGGCTTTGAAGCAGTAGCCAGGTCAAGACAAAGCTCAACGAGCATTTTGAACAGAGTAGAGAGAGTCAGGGCTGGGCTGTAGGGCTTCCTACTGGGAAGCCCAATGGCCAGTGCATGACTAGCAGGTGATGGCACAGTCCCAGACCCAGCTCCTTGTCGGAGGTAGCCCTTACCCTGGATAGTGAGTGTGCTGGTGGAGCTCTTGGTGGGTGTGCCCGCATCACTGGCCACCACCCGCAGCTGGTACTCGGCGATGCGCTCACGGTCCAGCTCAACTGTGGTTGTGACCACACCATTGGTGCTGTTGATGACAAAGTCCATGCGGGGCATACCCACTTGCATGCGATAAGACACCAGCCCATTCAGGCCCTCGTCTAGATCAATGGCCGCCACCTGGAGGAAAGGAGCGGCTGTGTCAGGGAGAAGATGCTTGAAAAGGAACTTTCATTCGCCTGTTTCAATTGTTGTCACAGAGGCTTCTTGCCTCTGCCTGTTAACCTAGGCCTAGTCCTGGAGGCTTTAGCCTTCTTCAATCTAACCTAGGCCTAAAATGTTTTCAGCCTCTGAGACTTACTGCTGAATAAGCTCTCCCTTTCTTGTTCTTATTGACCTCTGGGCTGGCTGATTCAACTCAGCCATTCTGGCTCAAACTCCTCTCCCAGCTAACTTATTCAATCTGATTTTTCTCTCGGTCTCTGAATTGCTCTGCTTAGCCTCAAACTAACTCCATCAATCTTTTCTAATCTTCTGGCTCCTCATTCTTTGGCTCATTGTGTCTTCACCTGTGTCAATCTCTCTCTGTAAAACTCTCCCAGTAAAACTGCCTCCTCTCCTCTTCTCTCTCTCCCTCTCTCTCTCTCTCTCTCTCTCTCTCTCTCTCTCTCTCTCTCCCTCCCTCTCTCCATTGCCCCTTTAGTAGCTTCCCATTCCTCTCTTCTCAAGAGAGTTGGTCATATATTCTATTCTGTCAAATCTTTCTCTGACTTGTCACTTTTCTGCCACTCTGTTAGACATCACTTTCAAACACGGGTGCTTCCTTCTACAAACTAACTTCACCTTCATTGTTTGGGATTAAAGACATGTACCACCACCCCTGAACCTAAGCTTTTCTTTACCCGAAACTTGCCCTATACCAGGCTTGCCTTGAACTCAGATCTGCTTGCTCTGTCTTCTGGTTTAAAGGTCAGTTTATATTTCAATAGGATCACACAGATCTAGAAGGTCTTTGGATGTATTCTCTTGCCAGATCAGCCATGTTCTGAATTAAAATTTCTCTACAGATGCTGGAATAGATGCTTCTTTCCTGGGCATGACCTCCCCTTTCCTACCAACCAGAGCTTGGGGCATCAGTCACACCTGCTCCCCTGTGAACCTCAGGCCTGGCCAGTGTCTCCAGGGAAGCCTCCACTGGGCGGGGTGTCAGAGCTGGAAGCCTCAGATAATCTCTGGTCTGAATGCACCGAGTAAGAAGGGCTTCCTACGACCAGACCCAGGCCCCTAAGTCTTGCCCTTTAAGCCCTACTATCGTTTAAGGAAGCTCTTCCAGACTCCAGCAGGCTTTGGGCTCCTATACATTGCCATGGTCCAGAACTTCCCCTCATTCTGCAGCCTTACAATACTGGCTAGGCTCACTCAGCCTAAGGACGTTTTCATTTCCTGGATCTTGGCTTCACAGCCTCCAGGACCAACTCCTCTCTCTGCTTTATAAGTTAAAATGGAGACACGTGTAAAAAGACATCAGGACTATTCTTCAATGTCATACAAAAATTTCATTTGGTACATTTCACCTGGGATAAAGTCAGGTAAAGCTCCTCCCTGGGTCCCAAATTGTTCCCACTGGCAATTCCAGTCCTGGTCAGAGAACTTCCCAGCACATGATCCAGTACACTGAGAATTTCATAGGCTAACACCTGAGAACTTGGAGAAAGCTGGATGACCACAGTGAAGATGGGAGCTTTGTGGTTAAAGCAAGACTCTTGCCATTGGAAGACAATGGCCTCATTTAGTGCAGAGATTGGACAAGGTTTCTCCATGCTTCTCGGCTGCCTTCCAGAACAGGGGCTCAGTGCTTTGACTTAATTTGTACTCTAATCCCTGAAGAGAATTCTTATACATGCTCAGTAGAGATCTTTCTTGGTTGAGGTCCTAGTTGGGGCCAGGAGACAAAGAGGTTATGTCAGAACCTCTTCCTGAATCTGAGATTTCCCTGTCACACATTCCCAGTTCCTGTAGCCTTGCTGTGGCTCTAAACATCTGTAAAATCTGCCTCAGGGCCTCTTTCCCTCCAGTCTTAGAGGTCCTTGCAGAGATCTGTTATTCTCTTGCTCCCACCTCCTTTGGGAATTTCTCCTTGGGGACTAGCCACTGTGGTAGAAATGGAGGCTCTCCCTGCTGGGGGCTTGGGAGAATGTCTCCAATTTCCAGGGGTCAAACACACTGTCACTCTCCTCTTGTGGGAAAAGAAACAAGCACAGTGAGCCAGTAGGCACAGCCATGGCCATATACTCTGGCATCCTGAGAAACAGCCCTGTCTTTTTGGAGTGGGGACGAGTGATCCCACTGTCTCGCGTATAAACCATGATACACACAACAAATTGTTGCCTCAGCACAGCCAAGCAGGCACTACTGTTATTTCCTGTTCTCAAGTGAGAAATCTGAGGCTCAGAGGGGTTGAGGAGTGTGCTCTGTGTCGCACAGCAATAGTGGTAGAACTGGGATGAACACGCATATCGGTTGGACTCCAATGCCTTTCTTTTGAGGTGCTGGGCCTGGCACTCAGGGCCTTGCTCATTCTGGGAAAATGCTCTTTCCACTGGTCCCACCTGGCTGCACCCAGCTGAAAGTGCACAGTCTCAACCGTGAAGGTCTCCCAGAGTTCCTAAGACACTCCCGGTAGGACATCGTGTTCTCTTAATCAGCACCTTCAGGGCCTCCCAGTCTATTAGGGTGATGGGGATGGGGAGAGAGGCCCGACCTCTTCTGGGCCATGGGAAGTTTGGGAGTCTCTTCAAAGCTTCCTTCCTAAGCTTTGGAAGAGACCTATGGGAAGGGTCTCACTTCTGTGCAGAGTGGCTTGAGGACTCACAGGAGGTATGAGGAATCTTATTTAGGGGTGCTGAGCCACTTCTGACATTGTGTTCCACAACCATTTACAGCTTGTGGCGCTGGAGTCTTAGGCCAGACTCCCACAGGCTGGGGAACTTTCTGAGTCAGCTTCTAGGATTTCTGTCCACCCTCCTGGCTTCTGTTTTTGCCTGATCATATTCCTTGTCGTTGTCTGTGGCACGGAGCCTCCATCTCTCCAAATCTCTGGTTCTTCCAGACTTGGCTCAAGGCTCTCCCTAGGGGCCTCCCAGACTTCCTCAGCCACTGCAGTTCTCCCACCACTAGTTGTCCCAGTATTTTTGACTTACATAGTGTAGGGGCTCTTGATTAGCACCCACCGCCCTGATGAAAGTGCTTAGCGTGGAGCACACAGGGACCCCTTGGCGCCCAGGGGCAAGGTAAATGAGCAACGCTTACTTGGTAGACAGAGACCCCTGCAGGGGTGCCTTCAAGAACCTCAGCCACAAAAGGCAGGTTCTGGAAAGTGGGGTCATTGTCATTAAGATCCAAGAGGTTCACAAAGACTGTGGCACTGCTGGTGGCCTTCAGAGGGGGTCTGCCACCTGAAAGGACAAGGAAAAATCAGGCAGGGATGGGAAGAGGGGTGTAAGAGAAAGATGACAGAGAAAGGGAGGCATACACCCCCCCATCCCGATCCCCAGGTGTCCCTGTGAAGAGGAGCTTGAGCCACTTGTCCCTTCCCAGGCCCTCCCTATGGCAGGGGCCCTGGGGTTGGTCACATCTGGATGTAGACACCATTCTATTATTAGTGATGACATAGCCCTCCTGAGTGGGTTCCAGGATCCCTAAGGACCACCCATGGGGCCATCCCCCAAAGGTTCAGGAGCCTCCGCCTATGTGGGAGCTCAGGGGTGGTGGTGCAGGAGTCGTACAGTCTGTGACAGAGACAGTGATCTTGCGCATGAGCTCCGCCTCCACGGGGTCAGGGTTCTCTCGGTCCAGCATGACGTGGGTGGTGCGGATCTTGCCTGTGGTGCTGTTCAGACTATAGAACTTATTGGGGGGCTGGATGCTGTACAGCAGGGTGCCATTCTCCCCCAGATCTGGGTCCACAGCCGCCACCTGCCCAGGAAGGAACAGACCCCTTACTGAGTTACAGCGCAGTCCCTGGCCCAGGAGCAGGCCCAGGCGCAGGTGCAGTCGGCGGGCTCTCTTGCCCCACGAGGGCTCTGTTGGGGACAGGAAGTGGGAGGGTCACAAAAATACAACAGTTTTGAAGTCTGGATTCTCTGGCATCTTCACCCATCATCTCTTTTTTATTCAAGCCCAGCTGTCCTGGGTAGAATAGTGGGATGGGATGGGTAAGTGGGTGCAGGACGGTTGGTAGTACATGCCTGGCATACATATGGCCCCGAGTGCCACATAAACTAACGGTGCCCATTTCCTAGGACTCAGGACTTGGAAGTAGGAGGATCAGAAGTTGCAGGTTTGGGGCCTGGAAAGCCTACCCCTCTGTTGAGCCCTGGTTTGTGGAATCTGAGTCTGTTATAACAAGCTCGTTCTTTCTCCCTCTGTTGCTTCTGATGGTGGAGGGTCTGAAAAGCCCTGGGACTCTGTGACACCAAGGCTTGGGCAGGGAGCCATTAGCTGGGTCCCAGTTTAGAGGGAAAAGCAGAGCTCAGAGATGCATGAGCCAGACTCAAGGTCACACAGCACCAGCTTTGGGGTGATCCTGCCCCCTCTCTCGCAGCCTCCCAGAGTCCTGAGACAACAGTGGCTCTCACCCTTCAATCCACCATCTTTTTGTATTGCAGAACCATGATGATATCAGAGGTGGATGGGACCATGGTGGGTGGGGAGAGGATGACTTCGGTCCCAGGGGCTGTATCAGGACAGTGTCATTAACTTCATGACACTGGGCAATGACAGTTAGAGCTGGTCAGCTTCTGTGTCTCACTTGTTGTGAGCTTTTGTACTCTGGCAGCAAAATTTGTCCCTGCTCTGGCTTAATCCCCAGTCAAGGTGTATCTGGGCTCACTAGACCAGAACAGATAGATATCTGGCCAGGGTCTCCACCTGTCACCACCTCTGGGCTCTGGGGGTTGGGATGGGCAGGGAGAGAGGCTTACAGGGCACGTTCCTTGCCAGTGAGATCCTCTTCAGCCTAGACATCTCACACCAGACTCATCTCATCCTACACTCTCCCTACACATCTCCTCCTACACTCTGCTTCACTTGTAGCAGCAGAGGGGAGAGGAGGGCCCTGTCCTTGATTTCTTCACTGTATTGTGGCCATACTGCCTCATGTCTCCAGCCTCCATGATGGGGCCCCACCACCCTATTTTACAAGAGATGATTCATCCCAGGCATAGTTCAAGCCAGGCTGCATTGTGTCGATAAGGGACAGAGGAGGCAAGTGTCCCTTGGGTTTCTATGTCTGTACATTACAGAAGAGACAGCCCTGTTCATCCAGGTTCTTCTGGATGCGGAAACTAAGACGTGGAGCCAAAACAGCCCATCCCAAGTCAGCATGTGTGGTCAGTTTCATAGTGAGGAAGACACTCTCCAGCAGAGCTGCCCTGTACTCTAGTTGGTGGTGGTCACTGGCCTTGGGCTCTCAGCCCCTCTCTGGTCATGGGGTGGGAAGGGGGCCTGGGAGAGAGCAGAGGCTGAGACCCTCACTGGGCAAGTCTGTGGACTCTCACCATTTTCCCCTCATTTATTTCCCATTTCATGCTCGTCATTTTTCTCCTGCCTGACAGGGAATAATTCTCTCCCTCTTCTTTATTTTGCTGGAGGGTGTTGAAAGGCTCTAAATCAATGCCCATCAGCAGGCCCTTGAAGGAGGCCCCAGGAACAGCGGGGAGAGTTGGGCCCCAGCTCATTGCAGAAAGAGAGAGAAAGGCAAGAGAGGCATCTAGCCCGTAGTGTATACTCATCAGGAAGCCACATTTGGAGCCCACACGTCCAACACACTGAGGCCCAGAGATGCATGTACTTTGTCAACTCAAGGGCACTGAATAACGTGACATACGGGGACAGGCTCATCTGCCGCAGACTTTGGAAATTTTTTGGTTTCCATCACTTTGGGCTTCTGGAGTCATGGCTGTTGCTTATGCTAGCGTGGCCCTTGGGAAGCCGCCAATGGATTCTCCAGTTGAGGAAGAGCTAGCCCAGACACAGAGCTGGAGGCTGAGTGGTAATGAGGTGAAGCTTACCAGCCCGGCATCTGAACACAGCCTTAAACAGCAAGCATTTGAGATATATTGCTTAGCTATGGTATGCCCGACAACGCGTCCTCCACAGTGAGCCCAGCAAAGAGACTGCTGATAGTGGCAGCTGCCAGGTCCTAGTGCTTCCAGCATTTTGACTAATCAAAATCTGACACAAGAATCATGGGTGATGGCCCAGTGGGCAAAATAGTTGCACTCAAGCCCAGTGACCCAAGTTTAAATCCTCAGAACCCACATAAGCAAAAGCACGTGGTATGTGATGTCAGACTCTTAGGGCAAGATGGAGGCAGAGACAAAAGAATTCCTGGACTCTCTTGGGCCAGATAAGCCTGGGGCGTGCTGTGATGAATGACAGGAGACCCTGACACAAACAAGGTGGATTGCAAGGTTTGACACCTGAGGTGGTTATATATCACTCACATACACAACACACACACACACACACACACACACACGCACACACACACACACACGTACCCCAAAAGCTCTGATGACAGTAATCTCAAGTGGAGACTTTTATAGGCCATTTTCTAGGTAATGGGAATAAACACGGAGATGGTGAAACTTGCCTAAGGTCACAAAGCTGACAGCTGGTGTCACTGGAATTAGAACCCAGATCCTTTGGTACTCACTAAGCTCGCTTCCTCCTTATAAGCAGGTATTTTAACAGATAAGCCTGGACTATGAAACACCTCAGAAGGAAGCAGAAGGGGGCAGGGCACAGTGAGTCTTTCTCAGAGGTGGCATTTTAGGTTGGGACAAACAGAGGGAGCAATATGTGGAGGAGGTCAGGGAACTGAGAGCCTTGTTGGGGAATGTGCCAGTGCTCAGTCAGGGAGAGGTGAGTGTGCAGGAAATGGAAAGGTCAATGTGTGTGTGTGTGTGTGTGTGTGTGTGTGTGTGTGTGTGTGCGCAAGAACGTACATGCACCTGTGCATAAGTCTATGCATACGTGTATATATGTGTGTTACTACATGTCCATGAATGTGCTTGAGGATATAGGATGTATGTGTGTGCATATGTGTAGATTTATTTTTGTTAACACATGTGTGTGCGCACTTATGTGCATGCCTGGGGGAGGTGTGGGAAGGCGGGCCAGTCCCACCCGGTATCACCTTTGGCTTATTGCTGCTTGGCCCCCTTGCTAGCCCTGCTCTCCTCTAGCCACCTTTCTTGTGCCCCAGCCCTACCTCACTTGGGCTGCGGGGAGACCCGAGTTCCTGGGACCTTCTTAAAAGCACCACAATGTGCTCACAGATGTGTTTTAGGGGTTATGAAACTTAAAACGTTTCTGTGGTGATTCCTCTTGAAATGACTTTTCTATGACCAACTTGATTAATGTATAAGACCCTTGATTTCTGATTTCTTGGCACTCATCATAAACAACTGGGATTTCTACCAAGTTCTGGAAACTTTTTAAGTCTAGAGAGTCTAACCTAGAATTCATCTTTCCATGTAATTAAATCCCCACAAACTCTATATTTTTTAATTACAATTGCTGCATATTAGATTTGGTAGCTGTTTCATATAACAAGTTTTACATTTTGATTTTACTTACTTCCTCCTGAGAAGTTTGGGGCTGGAGCCCTCTGTCTGTCATGCTGTCTGGGACACACGTGTCTGTCTGTCTGTTGAAGGTAACCATAGACAGGTCTTGCAGGCTATAGGCATATTTGTGCATGCATGTGTACGCGTGTGCGTGTGCGTGAGTGAGTGTGTGTGTATATGTGTGTGCAGGATGTTTGTCCTGCTCTATCACTCTCTGCCACATTTCCCTACGACAGGGTTTTTCATTGAAGTTGGAGTTAGGCGGATGGCCAGCAAGATCCAGCAATTCGGTATCTGCCCATCAAGCTTCTGGGGTGAAAGGCATGCGGGTATGAAGCCTTGGCCAGCCTTTATGACTACTGGGATCTGAACTTGGGTCTTTATATTTATGAAGCAGACACTCTCACCATGAAGCCGTCTCCAGCCTGGCCCTGGCTTTTACACTGGATCAGATAGGAAGAAGCCAGTGGTAAGTCTGAGCAGAGGGTGACATGAGGCCCCTCTGGAGGCAGAGCAGGGCTCTGTCCCTTCCTGTACTTCTTGCTGAGTGAGCATGGGTCTAGCACAAAGCCTTTGCTTACTGAGGGCTTATGTAGCCTAACCACTGCCACCGCCCCCCCAACGTCCCTCCCTCCCTCCCTTCCCTCTCAATTTCCTTTGGGAGGAATTTCCCAGAAACACAAAGACAGACAGATGTTCAGAGATGGGCATTCTACAGCATCTTGGGGATACCAAGTTGGGAACTCCTTGGAGGTTGTTTTGAGCCATCACCAGGGTGCCCACAAGGTGGCAGCAGAGAGTGCCTGTGGGACCCAGAGCCCTAGTGGCCTACGCAAGAACCCCAGCTAGAGGCTTCTAACTGTAGCTCGAGCCAGGCTTTGAAAACCCACTCACTGGAGATTGCCTGCCCTGCCTTGCTGCCTGGGATTCTCTGGAAGGGGACACGATGCACCAGCTGAGGGCCACTCAGATCTTGAACATGTGGCACACTAGCCAGGTGATGGTCACTTCCCTCTTTGTCCTTCCAGGTTTCCATGTTCTCTCTCCGGTCCAGATAGACCCTGTCACTTCAGGAACTTGCTGGTGAGGGGTGAGAACTCTGAGGTCAGGGCCCTAGGTGTGGATGGAGCAGGTTCTTAGTGTCAGATCTAAAGGCTACTGACCCTGCCCCAGTCTACCAGATCTTCAGGACCTAGGCCTCTTCTAGATATCTCTGAGTCCATAGAGGGACAAAGAGATGGGCCAGGTGGTTTCTAAGTCCTTATTAAAAAGCCAGCAGGCCTGAGTTCAAGCCCCAGCACCACCTCTCACTGGCCCCAGGGGTTTGAGCTGAGTCCTGCTGCCAGGGTAGAATATCATGAGGATGAGAGAGAATTCATGAGATGCTCTTGGGGTAGTATAGGACAGGACAAACGTTCAATCAACAGTGCTACTGAGAAATGTCAGAGTGCGTGCCCATCACTGGCTGGCTGGTTTGGCTCAACTTTTGGGGACTAGCCTTCCCAAGATGAGACTAAATGGGGTTCAAAGGTAGGGGGAAGAAAGACTTATAAACATAAATCTGAGAGTTGGGTAGAGCACGTGGGGCATTGGCCCTGCCTGTCTTCAGCTGCTCTTGCAAACCAGGTTTCATTCTGGGACCCAGTGTCTCCGGCTTTGCTTCCTTTCCCTGCTTTAAGTCATATAGTGAACATGGCAGGCACACACAGGACATACAGGTGAACGCCTGGCACCCTCTGCCAGAGAACCCCTGGGGTGGGTGAGCATCAACTCCATGCTGAGGCGGCCCTGAGAGCCAACACAGGCCAGAGCTAACCAGGCCAATGGCTGCAGCGGCTTAGTGGCTAAAGGACATGGGCCAGCTCGGAATGAAACACCAAGCCTAGGCGTGCCTGTGGCAGGCCAGGGGATCGCAGTGGGAACGCATCCACCCTGTCAAGGCTGCCAGGCAGGGCTGTCTGCTACTTACCGTGGTCACGTCAGAGTCGGGAGGTGTCATCTCCACCAGGTTGATGTAGTAGGGAGCATCCTTCCAGGTAGGGTGGTTGTCATTGATGTCCAGGAGGGTGACGTTCACCTGTGGGCCACAAGGGGCACTGTGGTCCATAAAGGTCAACAAGAGCAAGGGCAGGCTCAGGACCCTCAGGGGTCTTGGGTCCAACAGAAGCCTGTTTCAAGGAGAGCCTAGATTTTCAGGGACAAAGTGGGGTGAGGTCTCTGCCAAAGGAGGGGGGTCTTCGTGCTGTTCCATGAGGAGGTAGAGAATGGATGAGGTGCCTGAAATCCTTGTTGTGACCCCGGCTTCTCTCAAGGATTTGGTCTTAGTGATGGTGACCCCAGTTGGGGATCTGAAAGGATCCCTTGACCTTCCTGGCCTCAGACACAAGTCAAATGGTTTCTCTGTTCACCTGCCCCAGGTAAATTATTTACAGGGCTGAGCTGTGATTCCTATTAGCAGGGCCAGCCTCTACAGAGGTGAACAAGATGGGGTTCCAGTTCCAGCCAAGTGCCAACCCCAGCGTGGATCCTCTGATCTGGCAAGAATGGGGCAGCTTCCCAGGGTAGGTGGAAACCATGGAGCAAGGCGAAGAAAGAGGCTTCCAGGGTGAGCCCAAGGCAGGCATGGGGAAGGAGACTAGAGGAAGGACCCCTAGAGCAACGGGTCACCTACTGTGGCTTCTTCCTGTCTCAGGGCCGCTTTCCGCTCCTCACTGTCCCCATTCCACCCTCTGCCACCAGGAGCTCACTTTGGGCTCCTAAGCTCCTCCTCCTTGAGCTCTTTTGTGGTGATGAGGCCTTGATGGGCTCATGGGCCTCCCCTGAGGGCTAGATGCAAGGAAACTTAGCATCATTTCTCATCATTATAGGTGATTATAGATGGGGTAGTATCCCAGGGGACACTGAAGGACCCTAATTCCTCCTCATAGGAATTGTGGCTTCTACTTAGATGTCCCAGAGAGCAGGAGAGGATTCTGGGGCCCATGTCCTCTGCTGCTTGCCCAGCTGGGCCTTTGGACTATAGTGGACATATTGTGCCCTCCTGAGTGTCCTGTGTCCTGGTGGCAAGGCCTTCCTTTCCCATGGCTGCTCTCGGCTGCTGTCTGTAGATGCCACCTCAGAGTGTCTCACCCTGCGTCAGGACATGGTACCCAGAGGCCCGATGAGGCAACCTGAAGGTGAGCAGGGAGGAGGGACCCGGTCAGCAGGGTAAGGAGGTACTCACTGTGGCAATGCCAGTTTTCTGGTTATGGCCCACACCCCCATCCACAGCACGCACAATGAGGATGTATTCAGATTTGGTCTCTCGGTCGAGCAGAGATGTGGTGGTGATTTCTCCTAGTGGACAGAAAGTAGATGAACGAGATGGTTATGTGTGGTGCTGGGGTGGGCCGGGAGAAGGACATAGACACGGAGATGTACTTGCAAGCTGTAGTTGGCCACATTCAAGGCTGCCATGGCCTCCGCAACTGCAGTGAGCCCATCTGTGTACTTGAGAGGGCAAAGCACTGTGTTTTGGAGGGGACCCAAGAGCTGGGTAACAGTACCCCATAACGAGGCTGCTTTGCAGATGTGGGGCAGGGGCTGGCAGAGCAGGAGGGACATTTGGCACCAGACCCATTCACAGAACACCTCTGGGTTAGACTTGACATCATTTTCCCGGCTTTATCGGCTCAATCTAGTTGCTTCAGCCCCCTGTGCCTCAGTTTCCACACCTGCTCAAATGGGAACTATGACAGGACAGTTTCACAGTAGGGTATTGTGGCAGTTATTTAATGTCATGAAAAACCTTGGAATAGCCCAGGCTATCTGTGTAGGCATACAGTCACTGGGAGTCACCAGTGGTAGGAGGGAGACACGCAGGCTGGATCCCACACGTGCTTTAGCTTTTGCCTCTGGCCTGGGCACGCAAGCCTACAGTGTGAGCCTACAGTGTGCAAGCCACAGTATGTGAGCCCACAGGGTGCGACCTGCAGAGTTCTGAGTTCATAGTCATAGATACTTTCCCAGCTACTCCATCACTGGTCTAATCTCACCTGAAATTTTTTTTAGTGTGTAAATGAACTATTAACAGACATGTTTAAAATAAACTACAATTTTTGTCAGCCGTTTTTGGCCTTTTTTCATTCTTAGGCATCTTTGGAACATTGATGGTAATCCTTGGTGTGGGTGAGCACGTATGTGCATTTTCATGTGTGTGGACGCCAGACGCCAACCTTGAGTATTACATCTCAGGAGCCATCCGCCTTGTTTTTAGAGGCACCATTTCTCACTAGGACATAGGACTAGCTGCTTAGACTAAGCAGGTTGGCTGGTGAGACCCAAGGATTCATCTGTCTGTCTATCCAACACTAGGATGACAAGCATATGCCACAATGCCTGGAATTTCTATGCAGATTCTGGGAATTGAACTCAGGTCCTCATGTACTTTCCCAACTGAGCTATCTGTCTCCCAGCCCATTTGGTAGTCTTGGATGCGTAGGTGTTTGACAAACAGCTCCCCAAAGAGAACAAAAGCCAGTTGTTGATTTCAGCGGTATAAATACTCCCGCCAGGACCAAATCAAGTCATTAACTCCATGGCCTTGGCCATGGCATTCCCAGAGCAGCTGTGAGCCAGCAGAGCTGAGCACATCACTATGGACAGGACAGGCCCCAGCTGGCCTGCAGTGATGCAGGAGATGGCTTCTATGTGGAGAACAAAGATCCAGATTTGAGTTCTGTAGCTTTCCTGGTATGGCTGTCCCTGAGAAGAAGTCCAAATCTCTTTAAGCCTCAGTTTTCTCATCTGTCAGAAGAAAATCAGAACACCTTCCAGCCAGAGCTGTTGCAAAGATAAAGGGTGGGGCTGGGGCTGGCTCCATTAATAAAGTTCCTGCTGTGCAAGCATGAGGGCCAGAGTTCAGTCCCCAAGACCCATGCTGAAGGCCGGCATGGCAGCATGTATTTGGAAGCCCAAAGCTGTGGGAAAGGTGGAGACAGGAGAATCTCTGGAGCTCACTAGTCAGCAGGGGTGGCTGAATCAATGAGCTCCAGGTCTCCCAGCTCAGTGAGAGAGTCTTGTCTCAGAAAACTAACATGGAGAGTGATTGGGGAAGACTCCTGACAGCCTCTGGAAAACACACACACACACACACACACACACACACACACACACACACACACTAGCACAATGAAGAAACTATAGGGGAAATACCTACCATTCAGAAACTGATCATTTTCTTCCAATACACTGAAAGAACCCAAGGCAGGCAGGCAGTGATACCCACCTTTTTGTTTCTATAGCCTGAGCTGTGTGACATGCAATAAGCTACTTAACATCTCTGTGCTAACAAGGGCACTTGGACAGCTAGTTCCCTGAATCTCTTTATATTCACATTTCCCTTCCTGCCTTGGGTTGAGCAGTAGCCAGAGTTAGAGGACAAGGCAATGAAGGTGCCAAAGCCAGGAACCATAGACTGGTTGAGGTTTGCCCAGGAAGCCATGCCCCTCATTTGGTGGTATCAATTAATAAAAAATTGGTATGGCTAGAAAAATTAATCTGTAAAAAGTTTTGAATACAAACTTGTATTCATGGTAGATGGCCTTTTCCATCTGGGAAATTAGGATCAATTAAGGCCGCCTCTGTGTAGCAGGACTGGCTAATGCCACCAAGGACCTCAGAGGAAAATGCTCCCAACTTTGGGTAGAGAACATGTTAGGGCAGCAGAAAGCATGCCTTTTGTGGGCCCTGGGGCAGGGTTGACCCTTGACCTGCAGCAGGATGTGGATGGGGGGGTAGGATATGGCTCACATATGGCTTTATGGACCCCAAAAGTCGATGTGTTGAGCTCTGAGGTCAGCTGGTCAAGCTCTGAGAGACATCAGTGAAATTTTTAACTTGGTTCTTGCCTAATTTTTTCTCATCTGGAAAATGGAGGAAAGGGAAGGACATAGTGTTGGGCACTTGGTTTGTGTTAACAAATGGTGCCGAGATAGTATCTGCATCCATATCTACAGATCAGAAATGCTTTAAAAATTACATCTGGATTGAGCATGTAGAGATTTTTTCTTGTCATTATTCTTTGCACAATATAGTGCAACCAGTTTTTTGTTGTTGTTTGTTTTATGAGACAGAGGTCTCATGTGGCCAGGGTGGACTGGAACTTGTTATGTAGCTGAGGATGACTTTGAACTTCTGATCTTCCAGCCTCCACTTTCTGGGTGGTAGATTACAGGCAGGTGCCACCACATCTGGAGTGGATAGAGCCCACAGTGTCATACATATTAGGTAACATCTCCAGCCCGGGGATCAAGTGTGTGTGTGTGTGTGTGTGTGTGTGTGTGTGTGTGCACGCATGCGCACGCGCACATTCATGTGTGTAGTTGTGAACATCACACAGTAAACTTGTGGAGGCCAGAGAACAACTTTGGGTGTCAGTCCTGACTTGCCACCTTGTTTTGAGACAAGGTCTGTTTGCTGCTGTGTAGCCCAGGATGGCTCGCCCGCATTCTCCTGTCTCTGCCTCCTACCTCAGAGCAAGAGTGCTAGGCTTAGACACACGCCACTGCATCAGGCCCTAAGTGGGTTCTAGGGATGTGAACGTACACTCACATATTGCACAGCAAGCACCCTACCGCTGTGCATCTCCCCATCCCCAGGCTGGCTTTTTACACGGAATGTACATCACGCCACATCTCTTAGTGATTGAGAAATGCCTTAAGGCTGCTGGAAGACACATGAGGGTTATATGCAAACACGGTACCATGCTCCCTAAGGGGTGGCAATGCTTTTCTGTCCCTGGGAGTCATGGAACTAACAGATTCTAACTAACTAGCAGATTCTGAGGTGTGACTATTGCTTCTTGGAAATGCGGCTTGCTGAGGAGGATCCTCTGAGAGGAGGAGGAAGGTCGAAGGTGGAAAGACTCATGTGACCCTGGGTCTCCTCTTCTGTCCTTGTATGTAACAATAGCAGCCATCTTCTCCCAGATCCTTGGCAGCAAGGAGAGCTGGAAAGCCAACCTTGGTCCATGAGTCATGGACAGCAGGAAAGTCCTACTGGGCTACTGCCTGCCTGTGGCAGGGATGGCCATATCTCCAGAGTTCTTGTTCCCTGCTGAAAGGTGACCGCTAGGCAAGGGCTCTTCCCCAGGCTTTCTAGTAGTGAGGTAGCCCCTGTCTCCTCTAGCCAGGGCATTGTGTGTGAGGATGACAGATGGCCTTGAACAAATATCTCTTGTATGTTTTTCTCCTTGAAACTACAACATGGAAGTGACCTAGGTTTAGAATTGTCATGTGAAAGGCCACCCACTGGACATCTGCCCGCACTGCTGTATGTTCCTACTGTTCGGAGTCACTGAGAGACTGGAATAAACCTGTTGGCATCTAGAGTTTCCTTAAATTAACAAAAATGACCTCCTAGAAGCAGGTAACTCGCATGCCCATACAGCTGTCCTGGACCCCAAGAGGACCATACTTTATTCTTCCTATGCTCTAGCATTGAGTTAGGCACCCTCCAAATGAGCACAGGGGCCCCAAATCCTCCCCAGGCATGGCTGAACAGCCTGCGCTTGTTCTTCCTCACCTACTTCCCCCGAGCTTCAAGGAGGAGAGAAAGTTAGAGGTGTATAGAGAGCCTTAGAAAGAGTTACACAGGCTGAACAGGGAGCTATAGATGGGAGCCCCAGGTGAATATACAAAAGAAAACACAGCAGCCATTTCTTTCTGTACTTCCTACAGGCTGATTTTAGGTGTGTTCATTATAGTCACCTATCTAGTGCACAGAACAGTTTAAACGCATGAAGAGGAGTCCAGGTTTAAGGCCCAAGTAAGCAGCCAAGACTCAGCAGATTTGGGGGTGGCACAGCCCCTGGAGAGTGGTGTGTGCCAGCTATTTGGAAAATGAACAGCTTTAGACACTCTTTACTGCTGAAGGACATGGTGGATGTGTTTGTGATGAGATTGCTTTGGGTAAGATGAGTAATTAATGCTGAAGTGACTATTTCAGAGGTAAAATCAGGTACTCGAATCTGGCTTGCTGTTAACAGCATGAGAGGAGAGTATGGTCCCTGACTGGCCCAGAAAGGGCAATCTGATGGTGCAGAGCAGCAGTTTGGGGCTCACCAGAGCGGGCATTGATGCGGAACTGCGAGGATCCTTCCAACGAGTAAATGATGGACTCCTGCCCATACTCCCGAGAACGGTCCAGGTCTGTGGCATTTAGGAACAGCACTGTGGCTCCTTGAGGAAGACAAAGAGGTAGGAAGTTGCTTTTCTGACCCCAAGGTCCTGGAGGCAGATCCTGGAACCTGTAGTGACCAAGCCTCAAGGAGTTGGAGAGCCTGAGAGGTGGGGTATGGCAGCAGAGTGCTGGGTGGACTCAGGTCTTTACTAAGGTGAGGCTGGGCCTGGGAGAGGATTCGCGCCTCTTCTCCCCCTACTTCCGACACTGGGCCTAGCCTCCCACAGTCCCCTGACCTTACCTGGCTGTCCTGTGGCTCAAACCCACCCAGCTTTCATTTGAGTCCAAAGAAACAGAGCTCCCAATTAAATTATTTTACATTTACAACATCCAATTTATCTTATTCATAGCAGAATTTATAAAGGACTTTATTTTCTTGTTAATGTCCACTGAAGGCAAAGGCCTTTCTCTTTGTTCCCATCTACATGGAACCTTATATGGGCTTAGGGAAGGTTGGCTATTTCTGCAGCCCTGGCCAGTCCCCACAAGTGATTTGTCCTATGGCTGTGCCCACCCAGGCTTTTGGCTGCAGCACCCTCTGCTCTTGGGGGCACTCAGAGATTGACGTCAGCCCCAGGTTACAGCACGATGGACGGCAGAAGAGTGCCTCAGCCACTTCCTCTGCAGATGACCCAGCATGGGTCCACCTGCGGGGCTTCTGGCAAGGCTCCCTGGAAAAAATATATAGGTGGCAGCTAGGAGGAATAGTAGTCTCCAAGAAGAGCACGGATCAGGCAGGCCCCTTCCAGGTGGCCAGGGGCCTCAGGTATATTCTTTGATCCCAGGAACATGAAGACAGAAAGATAATTAGGTGTCATTAGCCCAGGAGAGGAGGGAGCAGTGAGGGCTTAGGTAGGGCTAGACATAGAAATGTGCGGTGGGCCCAGCATGACACCCAACTCACTTATCTTCAGATACTGGAGAGGTATCTGGAGGCCCTGCTCAGACCCTGATACATAGCTCCAGCTATATTGATGTCAACTCTCAGTTGAGCTTTGCTGGATACTCTCTGTCCTCCACTCTACACCAGGGCTCAAAAGTCTTTCCAATACACATAGCCCCGAGGACAGCACGCTTGGAGGCGAAGATGCTGCTGCCAGCCTACCCTGAGGGAAGGAACCCACATATGCACCTTGTGGTGCTGGCTCAACTTGGGCCTTCCATTCTCAGGCTCATATAGGAATACACTTTAAGACTGCCCTTCAAAGCCATCCCACCAGAAGTCACGGCTTCTGGGACCTGCCTCACAGTACTGAGTCTCAGAACTCAACTACACTCCACATTCTTTAATCAAGATTATATAATTAACCATCTCCTATTATTCTTTTCCCACTGGACTGGCTGCAGATGAACATGACCCATGTCCCATGGGAGTTCTGCACATAGTAGTGACAATAACCAGATGTCCCCAAAGACTTTTCTTAGTTGTCATGGATGTCTGGAAGCCGACAGAAGGCTGGAAGCCCCCCACATGTATGTACCACAGCTGCAGCTGCTGGCTTGTGTGTGTGTTCTGCCCCTGCCCCAGCTGTACCTGCCATGATGTTCTCTACCACAGAAACGAAGTAGGCAGGCTTGCTGAAGGTAGGAGGGTTGTCGTTCTCATCCTGGAAAGGAAGCATTCAGATCAATGTGTTGGCAAGGTACTTGCCAAAGTGAGAACCAAGGGGTAGTTTGGGAAAGGTGGCCCTGAGGGCGTCTGGCCTCTATGTATCTGGAGTGGCTAGAATAGTATGAAAGCCAGGAGTTGCTTTGTCAATTCATGTTGAAGGATAGGTAAGGCAGTCATTGGGGAAATGTGCAAGGGTTGGAAAGGAATAATATGAGATCTGGAGATAGAAACCGAAAAAGACAGCAGTCAGCTCATCTACAGCTCTCAGCACCCCCTCCCACCTTCCAGCTGTACTCCAAGCTTACTCCAGAAGCCCAGCCCCTTAGTTCTTTTGCTCCCATGCAATGTCCACTTGACCTTGCCTCCCAGCGAAGTCAAGACACGGTGATTCATTCTAGAACCTCTGCTGAAATGAAGGGAGAGGCCTGGAGAGATGGTTTGGTGGTCAAGAGCACTGGATGTTCTTCCAGAGGACCCAGGTTCAATTTCCAGAACCCACAACTATCTTTAACTTCAGTTCCTGGGGCTCTGATACCTTTTTCTGGCCTCTGCAGGTACTAGGCACACATTTAGTATATAGACATTCGTGGAGGCAAAACACCCTTTCACATAAGTTGTTTTTTAATGAATTAAAAAGTGAGGAAGAGGGCTGGAGACATGGCTCAGCAGTTAAGAGCACTGCCTGATCTTCCAGAGGATGCAGGTTCAATTCCCAGTACTTACAACTGTCTGTAACTCCAGTTTCAGAGGATCTGGCACCCTGACACAGACATATATGCAGACAAAACATCAATGCACATTAAAATACATAAATCTTTTTAAAAAGTGAGGGAGCAAGGCACATCTAACACCAAAGATACGGAAGTGTGTAGGAGCGGGTGATGGTTATGCTTCTCTCAGAGCCTAGGCCCTGAACTGGCTGTAGGTGGGTTAGACAGACAGCCTGATCATACATGAACACCAGCTTCTCACCCTTTGAACCACCTTGGTCTGCAGCCTGGTACCTGCCAGTTCTAGAGTGTTCCTTCCTCTGGCTCAGTCTGCAGAAGTTAGGGATGGGAGTGGGAAGACTGGCTGAGGGGCTGAGCCAGGTAGGGATGAGCCCCACATTGGGGGAACCAGTGCCAGGTGCAGCCCAAGCTCCCTAAACTCCTCAGTCAGAGATGCAAGCCTTCCTGCCTTTGGGACTCTCACCATAGCCAACTTCTGCAATCGCTCACCAAGAATTCTTCCCAGTTGCCCTCTTTACTGAAGCCTCTCTGGCTCCCTTGGCTCTGTGCTTCCCTCCTCAGCTCAATAGAGCAGCAAGGAGCTCAGGAGCCGGCTGAGTGTTCCTCCCATCTCCCCATGTCACAATGTTCAGTGGGTCCTGGAGATTAGGGAACTGGAGACTCTTCCAGGGGACACAGTTTGCTGAACTCTTTTGCTACAGTTTCTTCCGCAAGAGCAATGAGGAGAGGGATGAGACCATGTGGCCTGGTTCTCCTCTCCTTGGGACTGTAGACAGCCTCAGCCTGTCTGCTGCATGGTGAGTTCCCAGAATTGATTGCACCATTTCTCCCCAAATCTTTCTTCTACTCTGTCCTGCATACAGGCTTACTTTCTTCCCAGAGAGCTGGAAACCTGAGGGCTCTTCTGATGTCCCCACAGGCCACCTGGGTCTCACCCTGGCTCCTGGCATGGACTCAAGTGCTTTGGGTATACACATTGAGACTTCTGCTTGGCTGCACAAAGCAACACCGAGAATGTCAGCAACAGAGCACGAGGCAGAAACTTATTAGCGGTGATATTTCCCCGGATTCTGGCGCTGCACTCGCTATTAGTTCTAATTCAGTGGCTCCCTCTATAAAAGCTTATTGTCCCCTAATGGGAAATCTACAAACCGAGTTTGACTTCTTTATTAAAAACCAACAAGCAGAGGATGAAAAGGAATCACCTGGCTCCTCTTACCTGCTCCTCCCTGCCCAAGCCTGAAAGCGCTCTATCACCCCTCCCCATGCCCGCCTGCGTGGGAAGACCTCCACCAATTAGTCAATGAAAGCTCTTTTTGTTATTTTTTTTCCCTAGGCAAGAGAAAATTCTTTTGGCCAAGGGAGGAGGCAGCTAAGCAGAGTGACAGCTACTTAAAAATCACCCACGTGCAAAATCAACCCGAAGGCGGTGACCTTTTCAAGTGTGCTCCTTAGACACGAGTGACTATGCTGCCCAAATGCCCTGCTTGGGAGCTGAGCGGAAGTTCTCTCAGAGCCACAGCAGCACCTGTCTTTGTTGCCGGCTGCTCCTGCTGCTAGATGGCTGGGTAGCTCAAGGGAAGGGCACACCCCCGAGGGCTCTGCTGACAACACCAGGGGAATGTGAAAATGGGGGTTCTTCTGTTCTGCTGGGACTCACTAGCTCACTGGAGAGGGTGGAGCCTGCCTTCACTCATACCCCTCCACTTCCAACACACACATGAAGTGTCTCCTGCCTGGAGACAGGGCAGGAAGGCTGCTGCCCCATCTTGCATTTGCATTGGGAAAAGGCTAGCCCATCCTTGGACTTCCTGTTTGCTCTGGTCCCCTGGAAGGGCTGAGGCAAGAAGGGAACCTGTCAGGTCTCTCTCTTCACCGAGTCACAGAGAGCAGAACATAGTCTGGATTTCAACGTCCCGAGAGCAGGGCATAGAGGGCCCCTACAGGAGCAGCAATAGCGCACCTTCAATCCCGGAAGGGGCTGACACAAGTGCAGTCTTGGCCCTAATCAGGGACACTAGGTAGGAACTGCACTTTAGTTACTTTATTTTTGGTTTCTTGAGATAGGGTATCAATCTGTAGCCTAGAATTGACTGTAGTCCAGGCTGATCTTGAACTCATGACTGTCCTCCTGCTTCAGCCCCCTAGGTTAGAGCCCTAAGAACCATACTTTATTTGATAAGATATTCCTGGCTCAGTTAATTCTGTTCACGGGGTGGGGGAGGTCTCTGAAGAGTACTGGGTTCTGTTACATGTGGGTGAGGATGTCCCAGTCTTCCCAGCCTATGACTATGGGGAGTAAAATATCCAGTTCCTCAGGTTCAATCCTAACTCTTGTCACTGAAAAGTGCAAGGAAGCAGTGGCCCTCTCTCCACTGACCTCGGCTTTCTCTGTCAAGGGTCTAGCAGAGACTAGGACATGGGAAGCCCCTGGATCCATGGTGAAGCCCTGTGAGCTTTAGTTTCCTATGGATGATGGTGCCTGCCTAGGCCAGAGTGGACCACTTCAATCTGCCTCCCTAAGTCATTGTCCTAGTGAGTGTCAAAGGTCAATTTGTCACAGCCTAGAGTGCTCTAATGGAGTCTCAGTCAATAGACTGGCTGGTGGGCTTGTCAGGGATTTCTGATGGAGAGGGCCCAGCTCACTGTAGGCAGCCCCAGTCCTAGACAGGTGGGCCTGAGCTGGCTGGGCACGAACCCTAAGTGAGCCAGAGGGCAAGCTAGCAAACAGTGTTCCACTATTGCTTCTACCTAAACTTCCTGTTTAAGTCCGTGCCCTGACTGGCTCTCAGCAATGAACTGTGACCTGGAAGTATAAGACAAATAAACCCTTTCCTCCCCAAAGAGGGTTGCTTTTGTTCAGTGTTTTATCATAGCAGCAGAATAAAACCAGGACACCTTCCCACCCTTACCCTTCCTAGTTCTCTGTCCTAAAACCTAGAAGGTGCTGCTCAGCCCCCCGCCCCACCCTCAGAGCTCTCATTTGCATAAGGGAATGCTGTTGTTGGCAGGACACATATCTGTCCTGTCATCTGTGATGATGAACAACAAGCCAGGGGCTGCCTGGGTGGTCTTAAGCCCTTCTCGTGGTAACACAAGAGGCAGGCACCATGATGATCCCCATCAGCAGATGAGAAAACCAAGGTTCAGAGTGGCAAGAAGCCCAGAGTACGCAGTTAGTGGGTAATGGAGGCAGGTTCTAAGTCACATGCCCCCAGGAGGAGCCCAGCTCCTTTTTGTTCCACATTGCTTGGGGGTAGGGCTCCAGCATCACTCCTCCTAGACTTCCCATACGTCATGTGCCACAAACGCAGACAGAATGCATAGGAGGGGGTGGGGGATGGGTAGGGCCAGGTCAAGGGGCAATGTGTGGTTCTAAGGAGGGCAGGGTTAGGGATTCTGATCAGGATGGGGATGAGTCTAGGCTGGAAGGCGTGGTTAGCGTCAGGTCATGTGACAGGGCCATTACTATTGGGGGCACATTCTGGTACTTTGGTGCTACCCTGATGGGTTAAGGCAGTAGGAGGTTGAGGGGTCAAGGTAGGCCAGTGTTTTTGGACTCCCATGAGTCTCTTCTTCTTTTCCTATGCCACTATCTGGAGCAAAGTCCTGACTCTCTGAACATCCCTGAGCTGTCCCCACTCTGTATAGACTCCTTTTCCTGCCACTCCAGCGTCCCGATCCCAATGCTCCTAGGAGCTTTCTATGGAACCACCTAGTAGGAGTCTCCTGTCCTGATGAAGACTTGTCTGCTTGGAAGCTGGTCCCAGCCTCAGGATAATTAAAGGACTGGTGTGGGGTTACCTCAGGGGCTGCTTGGTGCTGGCTGTGATAGGAAGGCCAGCTGCAAGCCTGCTCTGGGGACTTTCCTGAGCTTGTGTTCCATGCTCGACTATGTCCCAACTGACATCGAAATTTAATCCTCCAGAGCCCTGAATGCGCTAACTCCCACTGACATTCATTCACCCTCTGTTGCAAATAGGGAGGGGACGTGCCAGTATGTGCTCAGGTCCCAGGAGAAATAGACCTGTGGGTCCTGCTGTCAGGCCATGCTCTGTGCCGTCCCCCTTCCCCCCAGCGTGGCCGGGGGAGCAGCACGTGGCAAATGAGCCAGTGTGGAGATGGATTCAGGGACTGATAATTTCAGACAGGAAAGCTCTAAGGTGTGCTTGATATTCATGTCAGACAGGCAGCGGCTTGCATTTAGGTCCCTTTCTATCTTCAGAGGACCAGAGAGAGGAAGGAAAAAAAAAGAGGAGAGGTGCAAAGAGGGCCTTCATGAAATGTGGCTTCTCAGGAAGGAGTCCTTCCTCATCTCCCTCTTTCTCACCCCAGCCTTGCTTTCCAGAGGGTTTCCCAAGGCTTCACATGAAGCCAAAGCAGGGTCATTCATCTCTCACTGAGCTCCAGGGCCCTGGGTCTCTCTGGCCATGCAGGCAGGTGGTTTGGCAGCTGAAGGAATGGCACAATGTTCTGAGAGCAGGATTTGGGACAGGTTCAGTGTTAAAGCCCTTCACTGCTAGGCTGAGTTGAGGCTTCCGGTACTCTCAGAAGCATTCACCACCCATGACCCTGGAAGAGTAAGTAAGGCCAGTGACCCACATACTTACAAACACCTCAATGGTGACAGGGACGGTGCTGTAGAGAGGGGGGTTGCCAGCATCCTTGGCCATGACTGTTAGGTATATCAGCCCATTGGGTATCTGTTCGTAATCCAGTGGGCGGCTCACACTGATCACTGGAACAGCAGGAGCAAGGATCTTATAAGCAGAGTTCAGCCACCCATTTGCAGAGATTCCCTTGAGTAGAGGCAGTATGGCAAGCCTCCTGGCCCTTATACTTGGTTTAGTGACTGTCAGTGCCCGGCTCTTTGCTGAGCCCACCAACTGGCTGCTATTGTGCAACAAGGTGGCTTTGCCACCATTCCCTTGAACTCTACAGAACAACGCTGCTGGGGAAGTTTCCTCCGTCATCTCCCATTTCTTTAGATGGAGACTACACCCTCAAGAAAAGGTTGCAGCCTGAGAGGCACACAGACCTGCCCAAAGGACAGTGAGGCTCATCCAGCCTGCCTCCTCCATGTACTCTGTCACCTCAGCGTTACCTGCGTGGCTGCCTATGGGCCTAAGATTCAGAGAAAGGTCTGGCAGGTGTGAGATAGCTATTAGCCTTGGGGAGATATGACCTCTGGCTATACCCTGCTCTAGCCCCAGGGGCCCCAGCAGCTTCCAGGAAAGTGTAGGGAGCATGGGAGATGAAGGGTGGCTCCATCACTGGAGGGGATCAGGACTGTAAGAGTCCCACCAGCCCTCTCCCCAGCTGGGCCCCCGTCCTGCCCACGTAGTACCTCCATAGCCTTCGTACACGCTGATGTCAAAGTAGCTGCCGAAGGCAGATGCATTGACGATACTGTAGGTAATCTGGTTGTTGGGAGGGGAGTCTTCATCTGTTGCCTGGAAGGAACAGGGAAGACAGGGCCTTGTGAGCCCACCAAAGGCCTGGGGACAGGTGAGGGTGGTGGTGAGGCAGCCCACTCCTCTCAGTTCTTCTTTGGATGATGTAGCTCAGGTCACCTCCTGGCCCAGAATTTGAGGGACCCTCTTGTTACTCAGCAGAAACCCACTTTCTTGCTCCCAACAAAACTCTGTTCCCTCCATTTGTGAGCACAGATGTGGTCTGGGGAGCGGAGAGGCCTGTTGAAGGCCTGAAAAATGGCACTGGGCTCTCCCAGATGATACCTGGTGCACCAGCGCCCCATACTCTCTGTCCCAGACCCTAACTCCTCAGGACACACAAGCCTCCCCAGAGATAAGCCTGCTATGGTTGGCAATCTGCTTGTCCCTGAGTGTCCATGGGCTGATAGCTTGGTTCCCAGGGGCATGGTAGTAAGAGGTAGTGGAACTATGAAGGGATGGGGCCTAGTGGGAGGTGTTTTCATCACTGGAGGCTCTGCCACCAGCATTTGATGTAGTTTTGTAGGAATACTGGTTAGTTTCCTTAAGATCAAGTTACTATAGAAAAGGCGTGCCTGATCTTGAATCTGCTTTGCCTCCTATTTAGCTGTGTGAGTTTCCTCCTCTGATCCACTCATAATGCTGTCTACAACAGTGGGAAGGAGCAAAGGGGCCTTAGTCAGAAGGCAAATTGATAGACACCCCCCACTTTGTTTCATTATAAAGTATATAGCCTTAGTCATACTCAACAACAGAAAACAGACCAAGACAGGGACCCTTGGGTATCCTGCTAGTACCCTCATGCACACTGTAATTTCTTATTAGCTGCTGCTTGCAATTAGTCCATCAGCTCGTGTGTGCAGGGCCCTATGGTTCCTAGGTGCAGCAGCTTATCTAGCTTGGTGCACAGTAGGTCCCTATTAAACACACGTAACATATAGGCAAGGAGTAGGGCAGGCATTTGGAAAGCAGCCAGGGATCCTGCTTCCTTTGACTGTAGGGATGAATTAGGCTCTTTCCTGGGTGTTCCTGACTCCTGAGAGCCTTCAGGGCTTCCCAGCATGATGGATGTACCTGGGGCAGAGCCAAAGGGAAGGCAGGGTCTTTGGGAGAAACCATGCCAGGACCTTTTATGCACCTCATGTCCACCCTTCACTCTTGCCCTCATCACTACTTATTTCAGAAAAAAGACCCAAGGAGAGACCCTGGGTCCTGTCACTTCAGACATAAGGATGGTGTTAGAGATCACTGCCATGCACTAGGGACTTTCTTCAGGAAAACCTGTGAAGAACAAAGCCTCCTTTCAGGTGAGCTCTGCTTTCTACCTACAGGCTATGTCTTCCCTGCCCATCTCTCTCCCGCCTTCCCTTTTGTGGTCTTTGAGGCTACTCTATATGTGTATGTACATGCTCAAATGTGCACACATATGTCCACACCTGTGTGAGTGTGTGTGGAGGACAGAGGTTGACATCAGGTATCTTCTTGTTGCTCTTTGCCTTATCTTTTGAGAGAGGGTCTCTCTTATTAAAATTTGTCAACTGGCTACCATGGATCCTCCTGTCTCCCCTCCTCAACACTGGGAATCTAGGTGTGAATCAGGTATTACAGAGGTGTTTACAACTGAACTCAGGTCCTTATATTTGAATGGCAGGTCCTTTCTTAGTGAGCCCACTTACCAGCCCCTCTGGACGCTGCGTTGGTGGTCTTGCACAGGGACGACTACCCCATCCCTTCTATGGCCTTGTAAGGGACATGAGGATGTTTTTATGCTAAACAGCCTGACATCTGAGTTGAGGGAGACTATCTGAATATGCCCATTCTGGTTCTCTAGGGGGAGGGGGTGATGTTCAGAGGAGTATATGGGAGTTTAGCTCTTTCCCAAAAGGACTCAGAGAATGCGATAGCAAATGCAGGTCTCCCAGGCCTTACCCTGAGCCGCACCAGCTGTGTGACAGAAGGCTCATTCTCCCTCAGAGCACCCACATAGGCATCCTTCTGGAAAGTGGGCACATTGTCATTGACATCCAGAACATTGATCCGGACTCGGCCTGTGGTCTCCTCACCACCTCCATCCCGGGCAATGACAGTCAAGGTGAAACGCTGGATAAGCTCATAGTCCAGCCGGGCTATTAGCAAGATGAGCCCCGTGTCCTTGTCCAGTGAGAACCTGTGTCGGGAGGAGAGAGAGAGAGGCCAAGGCAAGCTATGGGTGAGCTCCTGCAGGGGCTGAAGACTCAGTGATGGGCCCCTTTCTGTGAGCAGGGGCTTCAGCCCAGAGGTGTACTCAGGATACAAATTTTGCCATTTGATAGCTGGAAAAAGGTGCTGGATCCTGTGTTGGAGCTGACCCTGTCAATTGCTGGAGGGACTAAGCCTTTGGGAAGAGTCTGGTAGAAGTGTTCTGGGATCATGAGTATCAGTAAGACGAACCTCAAACATCCCCTCTAAATGTGCTCTCTAGAAAGCCAAGTGAGCTTGCAGGACCAAGTATGCTCTGCCTATTTGGCAGCTCCCAGCACCCAAGCCTGCAAGATCCCTGCTTGAGGTACGGAGAAGCCCTGGATCCCAAGCGAGGAAGAGAGGAGAGAGCCAAGATGACCAGGCTCCATGACACTGGGCCCCTGAGAGCTACCCTGTGCATCAGCCACTGCTCCGCCTTCACCTAGTGCTGAGGCATCTGTCACAGAGTGCCCAGCCATGCTAGTGACACACCTAATAGAGTCACAGTTTCTTTCTGATCATTCATAGACTGTCTAGGCTGTTAATGCAAGCTAACAGCCGCACTGCCTCGTTCTAAATGTATGGGACTAGCAGAGGCAGAGAGAGAGAGAGAGAGAGAGAGAGAGAGAGGGAGAGAGAGAGAGAATGCGCACAGGCATACTTGTTTGCCTATAAGTCAGGGCTCAACTAACTTTAGCTGTCATTCCTCAGATGCCATGCCACCTATGTTGTTTTTTTTGAGACAGGGTCTCTCACTGACCTGGAGCTCACAGACTTGGCCAGGCCATTTGGCCTATGAGCCCTAGGTCATCTTCCTGTTTATCCTTACCCTGGAATTTCAAGCATGAACAATCATGCCTGGATTTTTTTTTTTAAACATGGGTTTCTAGGACCAAACTGGGGTCTTTACACTCACACGGTAAGCCTTTTTCTGACCGACCATCTCTCCAGCCCTAGGCTGCTTATTCTTAGAGGGTCCTGTCCTCTGAATTCAACCAGGTCTTTGATCATGTTAAATCAACAGGACGAGCCTCTCCTAAATTGATGACAAGAGGTGGTTCAGGGCTACTCAAGGACAATGTTGCCACTCTGTGCAGGGTAGCACAGGTATCACACCGCGAGGGAAGTAAGTAGTCCACCTAGTAGTTGCTGAATGCTGACAGCCACCTCCTGGTAGGCCACATGTCCTGGTGGTAAAGGCTACGTACAGAGGCCAGACCCTGTTGTCTACTGGCTGTGTGCAGTTTGTAAGGAATTCAGCCTCTCCAAGCTGGAGCTTGCTGTCAGATGGAAGTGATGAAAGTTCTGAGGCTGGTGCATGGTGAGTGTTTGACAAAGAGCCTGGGACACAGTCAGGCTTTGGATGTCCTCTGTGGGTGCTGGTGGCAGGAATAGCAGTGTTAGAACTTCTGAGCCTCACGGATGCCCACTTCTCCCTCCCCCCAGCTATGTCTAGAGAGATCTTGTACCAGGTTGCTTAGGAGCTTTGCCAACTGATTCCAGTGAAAGCCAGACACTAACAAGCTCGCTCTAGAGCAGTGCTTCTCATCATGTGGGTCGTGACCCCTCAGGGGATAACATATCAGATATTCACATTACAATTTATAAAAGGAGCAAAATTACAGTTACGAAGTACCAACAAAAATAATTTTATGGTTGGGGGTCACTGCAACATGAGGAACTGTATTAAAAGGGTCTCAGTATCAGAACAGTTGGTAACAATGGGTCTAGAGTTCAGTTCCTGGAGCTTCCGTGGACTCAGGGCAGTTTGCTGGACTGAGTCACCAGAGGCTGCTGCCAGGGGCCGGGACAGGAACTCACCTGTCAGGGTCATCACTGAAGAAGTAGTTGACTTCCCCGAAAGTCCCCACATCATTGTCTGTGGCCTGCAGTAGTAAAAGATGAGATTATCACTGCAGGCTAGGAAAGGGCTCCAGGCAACCTGTGTCAATCCTATATGCCTCCTGTGGCCCAACCTAATTGCCCAGAGCTCACACACAAGATGGTCAATGGTCATGGACAGCTGTCAGGGTACAATGGAGAGCATGGTCCTTCCAGAAGGCATTTGTGGTTGGGGTTATTGGCTTCTGTTTCTCCCTGGACATGGCTACAATCCACAATACAGGCTAAAGAATGCAGTCTGTACCTTGCTTCCCTGTTCTCCTCTCCTTTATTCTGTTCTGCATATTCAGCAGGTTGTCCACACAGGGTACTGTCCTAGACATGAACTCTGGCCCCTTCCTAGACTGAAGCTTTGGATCTGGCTAGCTGTGGCTTGCCCCCCAGGTGCCAGGTGGGAAAGGCCTGGGCTGACCTTGGGGCTCACTTACATCTGCTTTATTCTCAGGCTTCTCTCTAAGATCATATGTGAATAGAGACTGTGGCTAAAAATACGTTTTAATGCCTTTCTGCTCAATATTTTTTCTGAGGTTCTTTTTTAAAGCTCCCAGATTCTATGAAATCTATTAAATTCTACGTTCTTTATAATAAACCTGAATTTTCATGAGAAGCTAATGCGCATTCGGCATATCCAGTTCCGGAAGGCAGATAGATGAATAATATATTTCTATCCCAAATGAATGAAATGAAAAATATGTTTATACCCAGAGAATTAAGACCTTAGTTAACCAGAAAATGTGGCTATTCATAAAGATGCTGGTTTTGAGGGCCCTGGGCTGCCTGCTTTCAGGGCATTGCCTCCTGCATACAGTAATGGTCCTAGAGTCTCTGTGCAGACAGACCAGTGTCCTCCACCAAGACTCCAGCCAGGTTCAGAGCTGGGTTAAGCTTCTCCGTGTATGGGACTTAGCAAGTCCCCAGGGGTAGACACTGGTTCCCTAGGGGTCTCCCCTGCCTAAGCCATTCCTTGCCACAATTGCCATTACCAGTGACACAGAGGTGCTGTCCTACAACAAACCCAAATGATAGATGGAGAAACTGAGGCACCTCAAAGGTCCATAGTGCACCCAAGGCTCACAGCTTAAAACAGAACAAAGTTCACTTTGAATCACATGCCCCTGGCTTCTGAGTGGCCTTCTTTAACCCCAAGAGGAGAATTGTTCCAGAAGAAAAGGAGCCTGGGTATTCCAGGGGAGAGGCAACTACAGCTCCCCTGATGATGCCTTTGTTATCCCTTCTAGGAGTAAAAGAGAAGGGAGGACTGGAAAAAAATGCATTCCTTCCATCCCTAAGTCCCAGGGGTAAAACAGAATTCAGGGAATCACTCTCTATCACCACTGTTTTTGTGTCTGAAGAAAAACTGGTGCCATGTCATGGAGTTCTTTGGTGGAGGTCAGAGTCAGGTTGAGACGTAAGATACTGTTTGATCCCACAGGCTAGTGGCCCCTGTGGGATCAAACAGTATACCCTTCTATTTGAGAAAGGGGCTGGTGATGCTACAGAGAGGGAGCTCCATCTGCTGGGCTCTGGCTGGCATAGTGCCTGACACATAGCAGGAACAGGCATTTCCTGACTCCTAGAAATGACTGGGCAAGAAGAAAAGGAATGTGGGGAGGGAAACGTGAAGAGAAAGAAGGAGTGGTGTTTAGTCCCACACTTAGATGTAGATGGTACCCGCATAAAAGGTGGAAGAAGGAAGCTTCAGTTTTGTGTTTGCCTTCACTCTTGCTGGCAAGTTCCTCCACTTTAATGCTGCTGCTGTTGCTGCTGGTGGCTCTTCACTGATATCAGAACTCAGAATCTTTTGGAAACACCAGCAACTCTCTAGGAATCCCCTAGACCTTCAGTGCTAGGTTGGAACTGCTGAGGTACCCGGCCTTGAAGACTGAGCAGCTGCTGGATTCTCCATGTACAACAGCCACTGTTGGACTACCCAGACCCTGTCATGTAAGCCAGTCTAATAAACTGGCCTTTAACATAGTCAGCACTGTTCTGTTCCCCCGACCAAAATCAGAAACATTTGAAAAGCAAGGGATGGGAGAGGAGCCACCCAGGGAGGAGCAGGGCAAAAGTGATTCAGCAGCCACATGTATGGCCTTGCCTTGGGAGAAGTTCCCAGGTAGCTCTGGGGACTGGTGTCTCACTTCTGGGAACCCTACTGAATTCCACGTGGACTGTTGAGACAGGAAGTCTGCTAAGCTTCCCTAGTCCAGTTCCTTCATTCTATAGTTTAAGCCTACAACAGCTGAGGCCCAGGGGAGTCCACTTGGCCTGGAGGTGAGCAGAGACCATTTTAATGTATCCACTGACCCTTTTCCCCAAGGCCCACCCTCCTTCCCTGGATAGGCTGGACTCAGTACAGCTTTCAAAGAGCATGACTGGTCCCTAGGGTCCTCTCACTGCCTGCTCAGGCCACCAAAGCTGATGAGGAAATACTTGTGAGCCATTTAATGACTGTGTGAAATGTATAATCCCAGTACCACGGTTGGCTTTTATTTTTCCACTGCACGAAGCCAAGGTGCGGTCAAGAACTCTGTGCCTTATCAGATGGGGGGCACTAGCCCCTCCAGCTTGTGCAGCCACTTTCAGCTCCAGCTGGACCACAGACAGCTTGTAGGACAGAGCAGCCTGGGCTACTCTATGCCAAGCTTAGGGCCTTTCTCTGGCCTGTCTCACCTGCTCCTGCCCTCCTTGAACCCAGCCTTGGTTAATGCTTTAACCTACAACCCCTTTAGCTTAGGCGAGGCTGGGGATAAGCTGACAGATGTCCTTGAAGCCTAGGGGACCTGGAGAGGTATTTTGTATCTGTCTATAACTACATCTGTGCCCATCTGCATGGTGAGAATAATAAAGGAGTCTGTGTGTGTGTGTCTGTGAGTATGTGTATATGTACATGTGTATGTGTATACATACATGTATGTATATATGTGTACTTATTTGTATGTATGTGTGTGATTGTATATAAGTGTGTATGTGTCTATGTGCCTGTGTGTATATGTGTGTATATATATGTGGGTGTGTTTGTGTATATTTGTATATATGTATACATGTGCACATATATGCACACATGTGACTGTGTGTATCGTGTATATGTGTGCATATGTAGGAGTGTGTATGTGTGTGCATATATATGTGTATATATATGTATATATATGTGTTTGTGTATATGTGTATACGTATGTGTATACATACATAAATATGCATTTGTGTGGATGTGTCTGTGAATTACATGCTCATGCATATCTGCGTGTCTCTCTCTATATGCTTGTGTGTATGTGTATGTATGTATTTGTGAAGTATGTACGGATGCCTGTGTGTGTGTCTGTGTGTCTGTATATATGTATTTGTCTGTTTGTAGGTATGCATACTTGGAATGTGTACACAGACATGTCTGTGTGTGGAGACTGGATGTCAATTTCGGGCATTTCTCTGCAGGAGCCATCCACTTTACCTGACACCTGGGGCTTGCTGATCAGGTGAGGCTCTCTAGCTAGTGGGCCCAGTGATGCATCCTTCTGTCTCTGCCTTCCAGCACTGGGATTACAGGCTGGTGCCACTACACTCAGCTCCTTATGGGGGCTCTGGGGGTCAAGCTCAGATCCCCATGCTTGTGCACAGCATTTGGCTGGCTGAGCCAGCCTCGCAGCCCCATAAGTCTCTCCAACAGTGTCTATACCCCTGCCACATAGGTACTTATAACCCACCCCTATCAGGACTTCAATATGAACTGTCCCCACGTGCTCATGCATTGAAGGCTTGATCCCCACCTAGGATGCTATGTGGGTGGTTGGAGAAGCTTTGAGATCTGTAGCCTAGATGGAGGAAGTAGGTCAGTGGGGGAGGGTCCTTGGAGTATATTGCACCTGGCCCTTTCTTGTCATGTTCTTGTGTGTATTCAAGAACAGAAGGGCAGCATCCATCACACATTCCTGTCACCATGATGTTCTTCTGAAGGGCATGAGACCAAATGACCACGGGCTGAACACTCTGAAGCTGTGAGCTGAAATAGATCAGCCCTCCCTTAACTTGTTCTGTCAGGCGATTTGGTTTCTGTTATGGAAAAGCAACTTTTTTCCAGTGAGGAAATAGGACTTCCACAATGCTTAGTTACCCGTCTTCACACTTCCATTTAAACCCACTTGGTGCCTGGAGGGACATAGGACCTGAGTGCTACCCTCAGCTGAACATCCAGTGCCCGACTGCCCATCTGCGGTATGCAGTTCCTGTGCAGCTGGGCAGCTGCTGCTCTGGCTCCATCCTTCCCAGCTCTGTCTGCTCGAGCGACCAGCAACCCATCTCCTTCCCCAGACTTTCTCACAGCAGCTACCTGAAGTCCATTGCCAGATCAAGTGACAGACAGAGCATGACTCATAAGGACATGGTCAAAGGCCTGTGGAGAGAGAATAAAATTCCCCTGCAGACACGAATTCCCCTGCCCTGCCACAGCCTAGAAAAGAGCACATGGGTGACCTGCGGGAGACCCTTGGGCCCTCAGGGTCAGGCAGGTAGCTGTAGGGGTAGTGGAGAGGTGGCCCAGTGGGCCAAGCTGGTGTCTCAGATTGGACCGGGCTACCCAGGAACTCTGGCTTCCAGCTGACCACCTCCCAGTGCTCCACTCCCCCTTCTGGTACTTGTGAGGAGACCTCCACACCACCTTGTCTCCCCTTGGTGCTGGGTTGACACTCACATATGTTCGTATACTAGTACATTTCACTAGCAGTCAAGATTCTTGGTGGGCTCCAGGGGCAAGACATAAAATCTGATGGCCAAAGTGACTATCCTGTACAGGGACTAGAGAGATGGCTCAGCATTTAAGAACATTAGCAAGTACTTCAGGAAGCTTGCTGCTGGGCAACCAGCATGGCTCCACTGGCGGCTCACTGCTTGCTGCCTTGTGTATTGATGGACCAGAAATCCAATATGCTGGCCCTTTGGCAAAATGTTTGGCTTCACTCCATTGGCAAAGTTCCATGGCTCATCCAAAGGA